TCTCGCGTGACATTAGATTAACCATTGCAAAATCACTTTCCGAATTTCATAATTTTTTTTAATTTTAGTTTTTCGTAGAGATACATCGTGTTTCGCAAGGATGAAAATGAGTTCTACAGAAAAACCACGTAGTGTCTCAGAAACCTAATTTTTAAAATTTTCAAAAAAAAATTACGTTTTTCGTATATTACCAACTGAACTCTTCGACCTAAAAAATTCCAAATTAATTTCAAATTTTAGTTTTTGTTAAGTAGTAGGGTCTGCGTTGCGGATCTTCTTAACAGTATGTTTATCTCGATTTTTATCCCCAAATCCAGTTATTCTTCTGTCTTTCAAATGACCGATCATGGAAAAAACTTTGCACTACAAAAACCCATTTGATAAATAAAAATTAGATACTTGGCACGTGTGATTTTTGATAAATACAGTAAACATTGTTTAGTTATTTGATCTTTCAACACTTGATTCTCCTTGTCCTGCCTGTTCTTCGTCAAAAAAAAAGTATTTGATAAGAAGAGAGAATAAGTCAAACCCAACCTCCCATCTGGGGACAAAATGTGTATAATAAATAATTTACGTTTGAACTTCTTGTTCTCTCTATCTATCTCCTTCAGTGATGTCTTGTGATGTGTGATGTACGAATCTGGTCAAAATGTTGTATTTTTGCGGGTCGCCAGTGTTTCGTTGATCTTTTCTTGTTTTGTTATCGACTCTATTCTATTCGTTTTTATCATCAACCTCCTCTTTCTCCTCTTCCTTCTTCTTATTTCTCTTCTTGCAATTTTTGTGTAAAAATTGATCTTTTGATCTTTCAAACGCCTTGTTGAAAATATGTATAAAATCTTTCGGTTGCAGATTTAATGATAACAAGTAGGCACCGCCCAAATGTTCTTATTTTTCAAGAACTTGTGTTCTGATCAGATCATACTGCTATAATTTTGAGCAAAATAGAAAAATTAAAAATACATTTCTGGAGAAAGCAAAACTCAAAAACTGGGCTCTATAAACTGAAGCATGAATATCTACCGCTGAGCCATTCTCGTTTTCTCAAATATTTATAGTTTGATTTTTGTATCCAAAAATTTCCAAATTCTTTTGTCCTACTTTGTGTACCCGATCATTTCCATTGTCATCTTCCTACTTTTTTTCCAAAAACAAAACATTTAGTATTTTGTAGCCAACACTTTATTCGATTTATCCCACATCCTTAGATTTTCTCTTCTTATTGATTCTCATGGTTTTTCTTTTCTGCCTACAGTATCCCTCTTCGTTTTATCATCATTTTCATTGTGAGAATTATCTTTTTTTGCCTTACATTCTTTTTGCGAGGAAAACCGGTCGTTGAATATTTGATTTTTTGGTTTTTCCTATTCTGGTTGATCTTCGAAAATGTTTTGTTTTGTATTTTATTTATGTATGACTAGTGTCACGTGGAAGTTTTTTACATTTATCAAAAATTCAGTAGGTCGAGGATTAGTCTATCATCAATTATTATGATGGTTTTATTTTTGTGAAAATGTATTTTTGTAGTGTTAAATAATATAATTTTATTTGAGTTCGTGGTCTGTAGCCTTTTAAATTTTGAAACTTCATAAAATTTCGAGACATTTTATCTTGATAATTTTTTCAAAAACTGTTCCGATTTTCGAGGGTCATTTTAGATTGTCTCGGAGATTTCAAACATCAGATCCAAAAACGTTCGGAATATTTCTGCTAAAGAACAAAAAATCAAAGTGTTTTGTCATTCTGACTAGTTACAATTGTTTTTCTAGGAAAAGTATCTATTCAAAAATTCTGATCTAACTTTGTCATCTGCCCGAACTAAAGCACAAATATTCATGTGAGCAACATAACACACTAAGCTCATATGTATAATCTCAATTATTCAAGAAAACACTTTTTCCAAGAACTGCTCCGCCTTTTTTCGTTGTTTTTTTGCAGCACAAGGTACATTTTAGTTTCCGAAAGATCATTCAAGAATTGTCATCTTCTCTCAATTTTTTCTCCTTAGCACAAATAAACAAACAAACACATTTTCTTCGCTCCCGTAGGTATAAAGAGCCCAAAATGTATTTGTTTGTAGTGTTTGGTTCTGATCATTGAGTTCAAAAATTGTCTCGAAAAATAAGTGCATACTTTAGAAATCGACATAGAGAATCGAATAGAACGTAGCGTTGTTGATGAATCATTTTTTGTTTGTTTGCGAAATTGTAGTCAACATTTTCAGTTGGCCAAACACAAAATGTTCTCGTTGGTAGGGCGGTGAACTTATTATAGGCTTAGGTATAGGTGTAGGCTCTAAATTTGAGAGAAATTTTGTAGTGAAAAGTGTGCTGAGCGTTTTTCTCGACATACTATAGGATAGAATTATGATTTAGGTTCTGAAGTTCAGCTGGAGGAATTTTGACAGTTAGAATCTAAACAGATTATCACTTTAACTTCAGCACTCATTTCAAATTTAGCCTTTCGGTTTATTCGGTTTTTAAGGTCAGCCTTAGGCGGCAAAATTAAGTCATGTTCAAATTAGGCTATGTCTATGTTCTGCCTAACCCTAATGAACTTGATGTCTAATGTTTTGAAACATCTGAAACTTTGCAAAACACTTTTTCGCCATCACATGATGTTTATTTTAATCCATGAATTCTACCCTAAAATCATAATCCTTTTTCAAAAACTACATCTAATCACACTTTTTCCTAATCCGCACATCTGAAAATCTATTTTTTTTCAAAAAAATACACATTCATCCACTTCCTGTTGACACGGAACCAGAAAAACAGCTTGTGTATGTGTAAATGTGAGCCCGGAAAAAAAACGACATCGTACTTTTTATTTACCAAAGACTTCAGCCCAAAGAGAACAAAAAACATGCACTTTCTTGTCCATATGAAATGTCTGTATGTGTAATATCGGCACGAACTTCCTTGTTTTTCTTCTTCTTCAAATTCTTGTTTTGGTCGTCGTGAATTAAGAATCGAGAATTTTTTAGTTATCCTATTTTTAGAGGCCACTTAGGCTTACAGTTAAGGATAGGGATTAATCTGAGGTTTAGACATGATTTAATAAATTTTTGCTTTAAATTTCAACCTAACTAATAGAAAGCGTAGGTGAAACCTGAAACTTAATCTAAACCTTCGAATGTTAGCCTAATAAATGAAATGAACCTGGTCAATCTCTTACTAACCAATCCAAATAGAGATTATAAGCATAAGCTTGATTTTTAAAATGACAAGTATCCAGGTTAAGCCAAAGCCTGACCTTTGCCTCTTCAACTATCGGATACGTCTTATTTTAACCTATTTTAAGCAAGAATAGCCTGAGCCTGGGCCTAGACCACAACTGAACCAAACTCTGAGCTTTGATAAAAATATCACTCACAAATTCCCAGACCTCCTAAAATGTCAAAAATCATTCCGTTTTCTCGATAAACAAAACCAAAGTTCCAAATTTTTTGATGTCACTTTCCAATTTATGAAATGTTCAATAATCCAAGTAGTACAACTTCTGCGATCTTCGAAATTCTCAAGCCTAAGCCTAACTCAAAGATCTCAAAATTCAGGAAATACCCTTTTACTGTAGCTGAACTCCAAAACAACTCCGCCCATTTTTGATCTTCTCATCTGGCATATATTTATAGGAACTCTCAATCCAACTCATTTTGTGCTCATTTTCATTTGTCAACACAACTTTTTGTTACTTTGAATATTTGCTCACAAATTTTTGGTTGGGTACAAGCTACATGTTGACATACTCAAACATTTTACATTTTCATTTTGTTTCATTTTTCATCCGCTAAACTTTTCTAGTTTTCCAACTTTTTGAAAATTATTGGGCCCTTGGAAAAAAGCAAAAAATGAAAAAAGTACTAAAGTCAACTTCCTGGCCATTTTTTTCGCTTTTTCTCTGAAAGTGCATCAAAACATGCGTCTCAAATTTCTGGGAAGGGTCCCTCGACTCCGCCTGTTTTTTCATGGAACATTGTTTTCTCTGAAAAAGAAAGACATTTTTTGAACTAGGTTTTTGAACCGAACCTCAGACTTTGTTTGCTTTATTTTCAAAATTCGAATGAAAACAGAAAGACAGAAAAAACAACAAGTTGGTCTCCGATCATTCTGAAAATATTTTGTTGTGTTGTTTTTGCTCGTATTTTTGTGTCTCTCCATTTTTTTTCTATTCTCACTAGCTAGTTGTTTTTCGGTTTTCTGATCTTCGAGCACAATTCGATGTTTGAACCAACTATTTTTGAGAATCAGGCAGACCTGCTTATTTTTCTCATGTAGTTGGTTAGTTAGTCAGAAAAAAAGGCGTTCCGGAAATTTTCCTGTTAGTCTCAAAGATCTTTATTATGGGGGATTTGATGAAAAATATATATGTATAGAAATATGATTTTTTTTGGTCATATTATTTTTGTGCCTTGTAGTTTGTGATTCATTTTCTCGATAACTTTGCGAGTTTTTCGGGGATTTTTTTTTGTTAGAGGTATTTGAGTGTAGAGAGAACATTTTGAGATTATTTTCTAATTTAAATCTCACATTATTTGTTTTTCTTGAAATCACGATCCCAAAATTAGATGTTTTATTGTTCATTTGTTCTGGGCTTACAAACTTTTCTCGATTCACATATATTTTTGTATGGAATGAGTTTCCCAATTCTGATCTGCACATACATATTTCAACTGTATTAATTTTCTCAATAATTCCTAGTTTTTTGAAAATCATTCTTTTCAAAAATTGCGTTCAGAATCTTGGTTTTCTGACCTATTTTACCTATTGTATAATTTTTGTAGCTTCTCTTTTGAAACCACTCCATTTTGCCTCTCCCAAAAATTCCACATTCTCCGAATGGTTCAATAATCTGAAAACTTGCTCACACATGACAAAAAAATAGCAGAAAAAACAACATAGTTGTTAGTTGTTTTTGCCGGTTTTTGGTCGTCTATTCGTTTTCCTTTTCCAGTTTATCTTTGGAAAACTTATACAACGGACTGAAATTTTTCAGAAATGAGCCCACACATCATTGCTACCGTAACTTTGGACGACAACGAGAATTGTTCGCCCGACATGGAATCGCCAAAACCAAAAGGACGCATTTTGTATTGTCGAAAATGCGAAGGCCACGGGGAAAAAGTGATTTTGAAAAATCACTCGCCACAGTGTCCATACATTTTGTGCAATTGTAAATCGTGTGAAAAGTTGAACTACAAAAGATTGAAGTCTTTTAACAAAAGAAATAAGGAGAAGATTGAATTGGCGGCTGCGTTGAATGCAAAACGACATGCGAATGAAAGTAGTTCAAGTATTGATGACGATGAAGGTAAGCATTTTTGTAATTTGTTATTAAAGGGGGAGACGGGACGGATACTGTAGATTTTGTTTGTTACTTGTTTCTGACTGGATATTCTAGATCTCCTTCTGTAGATCATTCCATGTGGGTTTGGAAATACTGTAAATTTACAGCGTTTCGCAAAAAGGTAGCTTTTTGTAGGCATTAAAAATCCTTTTCATTTTTTCTAGACATGCAATTATATTATGTTTGCCTTGGAGTACTGTAGATAATTTGTTTTTGTTTATTCCATAGATTTTTAAAAGTTCCCACATCAATTAGAACTGTATTTTCAAAAAATGTTTTGTTGTTATTTATTTACTTTCTTTGTCAACGAAATTTTGTTTTCTTCTCCGAAAAATTTCATTCTTCGCTGATTCTATTTCTCTTTCTTTATCAATAAGTTACAGTAATAGTCCCGTAGATCAATATTTTCTACCGTATTCCTCCAACTCCCTCAACTAAAAAACCCAAATTCCATCCAATTTTCTCTTTTTTTTTTCATTTCTCTTTTTTTCAACCAGTCAACCAATCAACTTTTAAAGGTCGAAAACATTTGTTTTATCAAAGTTCACATTGTCTCTCTTTTCTACTTTTTTTCAATCCCCTCCAAAAAAAAAACAACGTCCCCATATTTTGAGAGAAAAACGATTTCTGATTTTTCTCCTCTCCCCAAAAATATTTTGTGTGTGAGTGTGTGTTGTTTTTCGATGTGCAGAGTGCAAGAGGAGGTTGTTTTCGCAAAAAGTTCTCTGAGCCTTGCAGAATTTTATTCATTCCTAATTTTATTTTGGATTAGATTCGATCAGAATATTTTCAAAGATCTCTACTTGATATATTTTATGCCAATTAATTTCCGTTTATCTGAAATAATAATTCTCATAGATCATAAAAAGCCTAGACAGGTTCTGATCTCAAAAATACAAAGAACATAGCTCCAATGCACTTAAGCCTCTAAAATAGCGCTAGCTCCAAAACCTCCAAGCTTGATAGACTCATGATATCTTCTCCAAGTAGTCAAACTCCCATCATCCCGTTCCTACAGTAATCCTAGTATATTTGCAAAAATAGTTGCCCTTAGTGTTTTCGTGCTTTCGAGTTGTTTTTAGTGCATTTTTTGTCCGTCTTTTCTCCCATCTCTGCCTGCCTGCCTATTGCATTTTTGGTCTTCCTGATTTCAGCGCACTTTTCGTACACCCCTCTTTCTCTTTCTCTCCCCTTTCAGTTCTCCAGTTCTCATTTCATTTCATTCCATTCCATTTTCCACCTGGCAGTCAGCCGTTCTAATATATATTTTTATATCTATAAATAGTTACAGGATTCTCACGACGCTCTTCATTCTCGTGCTCAAAAACTTCATCACCAGACATGGAGCAACAGCAACAACAACAACAACAATCTTCTGCGAATAATCAAGTCACAACAGCAGCCCAAAATTCTGATCTTGTCTCGACCACCACTGGAAACAATGTAAGTCGTCAATAGCAACCAAAATCTGCTTATCATCCTCATTTTTCTCATTTCCTGCTTCTTTTTCACAAGAAATATCATTTTTTGATCTTTGTACAAGCTCGGCAGAGTCTAGTCTTCAGTAGAAGTTAGAGTCTCCTGCTCTTGTATATTTTAAGGCTATGAGTAGATTGCAAAATTTCATCACATTTTCTCAATTTTCAGAAAATGTTCAGTTAGCCCAACTACTTATCCAATCCTTTATTTTCTAGAACCCTGGACTCGAAGGTCGAAGCATGTCACTGGGTGCAATGACAGTTATGTCCTATGACATCTGGAAGGCAAAAATGGCCGCAGAGCAGAAGCGAAAGGACGAAGAACGCGCCAAGAACATCAACATTGACGAGGAAATTGAAGTCGTTGAACGAAAATCGTTGTCGCCGGCGCCGATTCGCAAGCGAGCACACACATTTGTCGCACAAACAGTAGTGAGTTATCGTAACCCGTAGGATGAGTCAAAAAAATATTTATGACGATGCAAAAGTTCAAACCTTCCTCTTTCTTTATACAAAAAAAGCAACTCCTAATTTCAGACAAAGCGAACCGAGGACATCCCAGCAATCGCAACAAAAAAGCTATCAGTCGATGAAAAATCGAAGGGAAAATACATTCTCCTCCCAACAATCCCAGCAATGCGTATCTTTGTCAACGAGGAGGAAGAAGTGGAAAAGCCAACCCCAGAAATTCTACCTTCCACCTCAAGACCATTCCAACTTCCAAAACCAACAATTTTGCCGCCACCACCAGCAGCACAAATGCAGCAACAAATCACACCGCCGCAACCAATTATCACTTCTCCATTCAAACCAGTTATCCCAACAACCATGTCAACTGAACAAATTATCAGCTCGCTGACACTTCATAACACTGTCCTTCAACAACAACAACAAAACAATCAAATAATGCAAGATCTTTTGCACAATCTATCAAGTCCTTCAAGCATCCCATCAATTGAAGTTCTTTCAATGCTTCGCCTTCAACAACAAGCTGCTGCTTTGGCTGCCGCTTTGACCCAAGTCCCACAAATTCAGCATCAACCACAACATCAACAGATGAACCTGACAACATCTCCATTGCTCCCCAAACCAATTCCAACTACAGCAAATCTTCTAAACACATTCCTCCAAACTCCAGCCGCATTGTACACTAATTCTGTTTAAAAACATTTGCCCCCAATTTCTATTTCATGTGTAATTAGTTAATTTGCTGTTGTAATTGAGCACTAGTCCATTCCGCCATCTCGCACCTCGAAATGTTCTCAGGTTATGTGATATTCACATAATATTATTATTTTCTTTATTTATTTTAATTGTAAATAATTTTTCTGGAAGACAAAAACTGTAGTTTTACATGTCTTGAATATTGGTTTTTTTTTCTTGATGAAATAAATGTATTAATAAATTACTGTCTTGAAGAAAAAAAGTTGAAAGTTGCAGAAAAAAATGATTTCAGAAAGCGAAATATCTTATGATCGAATTCTCGAGGGCATTATTGAGAAATAAAAATTGAAATATGATGAAATTTCCTAATGGAATCAAAAAATTAATCAAAATCATTCAAATGGAACATTTCGAAAGTAAGAATAATTTTGAACTTTTAATAATTTGTGAACGATTCTCGAATAGAAAAATTCGATTTCTCGAAACATAACTTTCAAAGAAAATTCTAACTAGAAATTTTAAAGATAGTCTCTAATTTCTAGCTGTATTTGTTGTTTTTGACTTAATTAATTAGATAATTTAATTATTGGTAAGAAAATGCCTAATTTTTTGTTTTTGATAATTTTCGAAAACCTCAATTTTTCAAAATGTTTGATATTTTACATGAATTTGGACAAAAAAATTTAAAAATGCTTTTTGAAAAATTTTAGAAATTAGTCAAACAAAGTTTATAAAATACATCACATTTTGGTTTCATTAAACCGTGTCATCCAAAGCAAATCCAAAAAAAAATATCAAAAAATGATTTCATCAAATAATTATTGTGCAAAACTTTAACAAATATACACATAAATATGGCACGGAATTTTCCAAGTAAGTAATTCCAATAAAAAATATTGAATAATAAAATAAAAACCTCTATAAATACATTGGATCATCAAATGCCGATACTGTTATTTTAGCAGTTCCTATCACAATTTGTTCATTACTATCTTTATATAAATTAACTTCAGTATCTCGACTCTCATTATCGATTAAAGCCACAATTGTAGTTTGTGCAAGTTGGCGATCTTTGGCCAACGTTCGATCTTCCCAAATTGTCAGCTTGTATTCTTGACGATTTTTAGCTCTAAAATATAAATAATGTTTTTTCTTAAAAAATTAAAATGTTATTTTTAGCTGAAAAACCACATACTTATGAAAAACAAATTGTTCATTCCAAACAATTTTATCGCCGGATAAATTCTTCGTTCTATAAGATTTTCCGGAATCCGATAGAATTGCATAGATTGATCTATCTGCTTCAGAGCTATTCATCGTCACACCATGAAGAGTTATACGAGTTACACTGTGTGCTGCTTTGCAGTTCATGAATCCGACTTTTGGAGCGTGCTAAAAATAATTCTAGTTTTTGACAATGGAGCTAGAAATGTAATAAAACCCTGACGACCTGTCAGCAGAGTTTACCTTCGATTTCTTATTTTTAACATGTGAATATTTGAATTCCAAAAGATTTTTATATAAATTTCTCAAAAATGGCCAAAGTTCATATTTTTAGAAAAAAAAGTCTAGAAGTACATTTTTCAAAGAACACATTTTCAGCGTTCACATGAAAAAACGCCCTTTTTTGAGCCAAATTTGCACTTTTTTGAACATTCAAAGTATATAATTTCTCGTCTCCGCACTTTTCGAAAAGAAAAGAAGAATAAAATTACCTTGATTAATTCCTCAAATTGAACATTCCTATCCGAATAAATTCTCAACATAAATCTGGCAATTTCTTTTGGCGCAAAAGTGGTTGGTGTCAACATATATCTACCCTTTGGTAAACCATCCAAATGCATATAAACACTTCTTCCACTCGCATATTCTGAAGTGGCGATTGGTGTCATTGCCTGATGTACTCGATGTTTTCGATTTGATTCAATTCTCATCACATGCATTCCGATAGTTACAAATGGTTCGCGCTTTTTCAATCCCTCACTAGGATCTGCTTGTGTTAGCGCGAAAATAAAAGTTGAAGATTCGCCAGGACAATCAAATGCATATTGCGGGTTATTGCAAAACGTGGCTTGGAAATTCAAACATCCGCCAGCTCGATCATCCGGTGCTCCACTCTTCTTTCCATTCGAAGACCATTCCGAGAAAATCACTCGTTCCTTATATCTCGGTTGTGTTGAGAAAGCCGAAGTGTTGAACAATTGGCAAAGCGAAATATCGGTGAAATATTGAACAAACGATTCCCAAGGCATCCAAAAATCACCATCTTCTTCTACACTCATTCCCATCTCTTTTTTCTGTTTGTCAGACACATTTAGCCATTCGCTTGAGTTATCGCTCCACGCGCCATTCCACTCTTTTTCACCCCACGGGTTTTGAAGGCGAATCAAATATTGCGGTTGATGTGAGCCGGTTAGAAATGATCTGGAACAAAAAAAAATATGTTATGTTCGCGTGAGTGTGTTGTTGAGGAAAAATCAATCATTTTTGAAATAAAAATAAAATGAAAATAGTCGGAATCTTATCGATAATCATAATATTCAGTATAACTCAAAATGTTGGAGCAAATCCTTGCGAAGGAAAAGAAATTGAAGATTTAGAATTCGAATGCACAATCATTAATGGATCACCACTAATAATTCGAGGAGTAGATAGTTAGCTTTACAAATCACAATTTCAAACTCATATTTTTAATTCAGATCTAGAAATCTACAAGGATAAACTGGAGAGTATCAAGGAAATTAATGCTGGATTGGAAATAATTGAGAACTCTTTTGAAACTCTTCAATATTTCTCAAGGCTCGAAATTATTCGAAATCCAGGTCACGATTATGCGGTGAAATTTATCGAGAACAAGAATCTCAAATATGTGAAATTCGAAAAACTTAGGATTCTCAAAACAAAAGTCAAGTTTTATGAAGACAATTTTGTAAAGGCGGCCTATTCGGATATTTCATCGTGAGTTTTCATTTTAGCGCGACGTAGAAAATTGTGTGCAAACACACTGACGCACAAATACACGACACACGTAGGGCTTCCCACCGTAGTCTTTTTCAGAAATAGAGCTGCAAAAAATCCGCCCGCCGCTCATGGCAGTAGGGTAATTTGCCCCCCGGCCCGGCTCGAACACCCTCGATACACTATGATCGATTTGCCCGGGTAGCCCGCACCCGTCTTCTTGTTTGCCCGATTTGCCCGTTGCCCGTCACACCGTGCATTTTCTTCTCTTTTTCTTTTCTATCTCTCGTTTTTGTGCACTCTCTCTCACTGTTTTTCTGTTTTCACACGTGTGAATGCACGGTGTGGCGGGCAAAACGGGCAAAAGAAGCAAACGGGCAAATCGGGTAAACGAGAAGGCGGGTGCGGGCTACCCGGGCAAATCAAGAATGTGTGAGCGGGGGGCATCGGGCAGTTTTTTTGCAGCTCTATTCAGAAATTTCCTAGATTGAAAATACGTGAGCTGGGAATTTCATAAAATTCAAAAAACTGATGAACACAGCTGACATCACTGCTACAGTAGATTTATAATGCCTGGCAAACAGCCAAAGCGGGTCTCGGAGCGAAGCGCTAACTATTTACGTAATTTGAAAAAAATAGTTTTTTTTTCGTTTCAGGATAAATGATCTTATGATGATGGAAGCTGCTGCAAGGGATGCGACTCTTGAAACTTGCGATGTATCATTTGTAAAAGTGGAACTTGCAAAAGTTGAACCCGGATTCGATTACGCTTGGTGGATTCTTTTTGGTATTTGCGTCGTTATTTTTCTAATCGATATTGGTTTAGCTGTCAGAATTATACTTCAATTAAAATCATTCGATTCGCCACAAAAAGAAGGAAAAGAATCATCAAAACCGCCTGTTGAGGCTCCTTGAATCAATAAAAAATGGTTTGCAACGTACGTTAAACTTTTGTTTTCCAAATCCAAACTCAAAACAGCACTGACTGCATAAGCATGTCCTTTTACCAATCCACAATCCAATGTTTGCTCAATTTCATCTTTGGTTCTTGCTGCAATTGCTGCCACAACCAAAGCTCCGCCATCAAACGCTGTTTTCACATTGGTGAACAATTTCAATTGTTTATCCTTTGGATCATCTTTCAAAAATTTGTTCACATGTAAAGTTTCAGCAACTCCACCCGAAACATCTTGAAGTGCATCGGCTAAATGACCGCCGACAAGATTCTCATAACATCCGTATAGTTTTGCAAAAGCTTTCTCAAGCAACGCCGACCAAAATTCATTCGGAGTTTTGGATCTGGCGAAAAGCAATTTTCCTTCTCGCGTCGGCAACAAATCATCAATCACTACTTCGACCCATTCACCAAATCGCCAGAAACGAAATCGAAAAATCCCGCAATATTTATTTTGTGCGGACCATTCCTGTTCTTCTGCGTCCGGTATAACACGATCCAAGAATAATTGATTATGTGTAAGTGCCGAGCAAGCAGAGACAAACCAGCAATTTCCCAAAATTCCTTGAGTTACATCATTTGCGGAGGCACCTTCGACGAAAAGATGGGGGTCATCATGCAGTTCCTAAAAACGGGTAATTTTTAAGGGACGAGTTTTTTCATTTTTTAGAGTTTTGCGACGTCATAACATGGAGTTTTACTAAACCGTTTCTGATAATAAAATTGTTATCAGGCGCTCGGAATTCGCCGGAAATTACATCAAAAACCCCTCAATAAAAAACTCACCGCTGGCCTTTTCCAAACGATATCCGAACTTCTACCTTCCTCCAAAAACAGCGATTCATTGGTTGGTGGAAAAAGTGTGTCAACAAATAAATGAGACTTCACCACGCACGTTTTTTTCAATTTTTCATAATTCTGATCGCCAAATCGTCGAAGTTTTGATTTCGGCATTTTCGCGTTTTTTTTCTTGAATATTCTGGTTTGGATTGGTTTGGATTATCCCCCGCTGCAAAATCAAATCGGGTCATTGATAAAAGAAAAGCGTAGCGGAAAAAGAGAGAGAGACACAATAAAAAAGTTTTATTTTTATTTTTCGTTTTAATTTTTTTAATTAAAGAAAATGAGTGACCTTGGAAAAATTTTGATTCAAATTTTTTTCAACAAAAAATAAATAAACTGGAATGTTCGCGGGTTGATCTACAACAAATGTTCGATCAAAAAATTTTACACTTTTTTGCAGCCACAAAAAATAAAGCAAACATATTTAATATGAGTCATCTCGATATCGCCCACAATTAAAAATAAAATGAAATAAATATTTCAAAAAAGTTCCACAGAAAAACTCAATAAATCATGACAGTTTTTTGTTTTATTCTTTGACATAAACACGAGAGATGGGCAGACATTTTGACTGCACTGTAAGAGAGAAAAAATGAAGAGAGACGAGAGAGAAAAAGAAAAGTATTTGAATTGAATTCGACAATACAATACGTACACTTTTGTGGACATATACATACATGTTTGTGACGTTGAAAATGAGAATGAAAATTTGAACAAGATGTTTTTGAAGGACGGATTTTTGTGATTTCTGTAGGAGGGTCAATTATAGGATAGGCTAGAAAAAATTATGGTAGATCGTGTTTTGGTTCAGAATCTAATGGAATTCTTTTATTGTAGTTTTGTGGCCGCTAAACATGTTTCCAAATTCTGAAATATTTATTACACAAATTCAGTCGAGACGTTTTTATCTGAAACTTCATCAAAGTATCTTTCTCTAACGTTTTTTTTTCAAAAATCATTTAAAATTCTTCAAATTCTTATAATTTATTTATACCCATAAACAACAAAAACATGTATTTCAATCAAATAAAATAACCAAAAACACCAAGTAAAACAAAATTGAAAAAGCTGAAAATATTAGCGCCTGACAAAGTGACACCTCTTCCAATATGATATCCATTGTCATAACCAACACCTTGACCGATTCCTGGAGATTCTCGAATCACAACACCTTGACCAATTCCATGGGCAATTTCTATAAGAAAACAATAACATTTATTGTTTCCACAAAATTACTAGATGTTCCTTATTTTCGATTGGAACTCTTTAGACACAATTTATGAAAGTGGTCAACATTCTTCGTTAAAAAACTGACCATTACAAAAGTTTTTGTGATGACATGTTACACAATAACCACCTCGAACTTCTCCTAAACTATCACACGAATGAGCACAACCTTTTGCCAAAACCTTTGGTCCATGTGAAAGTGTATAACATTTGCTATGAGGCGGACATTCTTGTGGAAATGGCTCATTGCAAGATAGAAAACTGTCGCAACTATGGCAAACTAGTGATTGAGAAATTTGAATGAAAATCGAGAAAAGTACAAATTGAACAAGTAGCATTTTGTCTGTCTGAAAAAAGTAAACTAGATTGAAAAAATAAATCTAAAGAGGACGACTGGAAAAGCAAAGAGGACGAGGAGAACAATAATTAAATTTGTGTTTGTTATTTTTTTCCACAATGATTCTTGCTTGATTCTCACTTTTTTTATATATGCACATTTCTTATCTTGAATTCTTTCTGAGTCTCCACGAATTTATATACTATTTCGTCGATTTAGTCATCACCCTATCCGGCGAAAAGACAAGCATCATTAAATTTAGGTACACACAGACAGGCGAAAAATGTTTGATAGACGATTTTTTTAGTGAAAAAGTTTTGAGTCAAAAATTTAGAAAAAATATTCCGATTTTTGTTAAAAATCAGATAAGAATTCGAGAAATATAAAATTGATTTAAGTAGGCACATAAACAAATGTGCTAGAAGATTTTTTCAAGAAAAGAAAACAATTGACCATATTTAAAAATGTATGGGGTCTGGAGGCTCTCAAGCATCAGACATCATTTCCCTCTTTCTTCAAAATTCCAGTAATTTTCCAAATTTATTGAAAAAGAAAACAATATTAGATTGAAATGTGAGATTCGAGTTTTGACCCGAATATTTTTGTTTTTGTTGTTTTTGAATTATAAATTTCGTATACATGGATTATAAGATCAATATTTTTATTAATTCCCTGCTATTACTCATTCTTGCTCATCAATGTTTTGGTGTTTCGAAATGGGAACCTAGAATTTTAACATGTCAAGAAAGCAAAAATTGTACTCTGAAAAAATCAGAAACTGATTTGGGGAAACTTGCAGAATGTCGAAAAGGTGAGTGAAAATCAAGAAATGAATTTTAGTTTTTTTTTTCCATATTCCAAGTATTTAAGGTTGTTTTTCCAGAAAACTCCAAACATTTCTGCGACATCGAATGCGACGGTGCAGATCGAGATAGTGTGATCTCAAAAAATCCCACCGATTTCCGCCAATGCGCTCGATTTTTCACATATAACACTCAAAAAACCTTGTCTGGAAAATGGTTCATTTGGAGAGATGCAAATTGTGCCAAGTCAAATATCACTTTAACAACTCATTGTGGATTTTAATTGATTAATTAACAAAGATGTAATAAGATAAAACATTTTATTGTGTTTCAATAATGATTTATTGAACATTTCGAGCAGCGACCTTCTTTCTGTGAACAGCAACACGACGATTAGCCAAAACTGCGCGAGATCTGGCAACCTTTCTTCGAGAATATCCAGTGAGATGAGCTCCACCAACAGCACCACCTTTAGCCCCATATCCTCCTCTGGCTGGACATGGACAATAAGCAGCATCAGTTCCTGGTGCTCCATCATTTCCTGGTGTTCCAGGTTGTCCGTTTGGTCCAGGTTGTCCTGGTCGTCCTGGTTGTCCATTTGGTCCTGGTGGTCCTGGTGGCCCAACTCCATATCCACCTCCCGGAGCTCCTGGCTTTCCTGGGGCTCCTTGTGGTCCCGCTGGTCCTGGTGGTCCTGGTCTAGCCGATCCGCTAGTTGCAGATGCTCCTGGTTGTCCTGGTGCTCCGGCACCTCCTGGTCTTCCTGGTGTTCCAGCATCTCCTGGTGGTCCAGCTGGCCCTGGGGCTCCTGCGCCTCCTCCATAAGCTGGAGCTCCTGGAGCTCCATCGTTTCCTGGCGCTCCAGCTGGTCCAGGTGGTCCTGGTCGTCCTGGTGGTCCAGCTGGGCAAACGCGACATCCACTTCCATTACGTTGATATCCTCCAGCAGCTCCGCTTCCTCCAGCTTGTCCAGGTTGTCCTGGAGTACCTGGAAGTCCATCAACTCCCGGAAGTCCTGGTGGTCCACGTGGTCCTGGTGGGCAAGTATTAGATGATGGAGAGCATTGGCAACCTCCAACTCCAGCGTGACGTTTTCCACGAGCAGATAAGAATGGGTTGACAGTAATCTTTGGCTCGTTAATCGACTCCCAAGCGACATTTGATTTCTCCTTAAAATTTTTCAAAATAGAATTTAAAATATTTTCAGATCTAACCAACCTTAAACTCCTTCATATCAAACATGATATCATCGTAGAACGAATTAACATCATTGAAAATATGGAAGGCTCCCAAAAGGCAAACCAAAATAGTGATACCGGAAACACCGGCAGTGACTGCCGCAAAGTTGGCCGATGCCGACATTGTCAACTGATTTTCTCGCATCAAGGTCTAAACTTATATACTCTCCCGCAACCTTGGCATTTTTCATTAACCCTTTTTTCAAGGAAGGAAGTTTCGCACAGGACAGATATTTTGGAAAACTGGTTTAGGACATGTTCGACCTCTAAATTGTTTGTGTTGATGTTTTTGTTTTTTTTGGTTTTGGTGAATAGCTATCAAGAAATGCAAGAAAAGAAAAAAAAGATTTTTGGTTTTCTAAGAAAAATAATTATTTTTGGGATGATGCGACAAAACAAAGCTTCCTCTTCGTTCATAAATAAAAATTATATGATATCAGAAAACTTCCTACTGTACCTCTCAAAAAAAGTGCGAAAATAGTAAAAAAGATTTGAGAATTAATCTAATCTGCCTACCGTATAACATTTCTATTATTTCAAGTTGTATTATTGTTATTTCATTTCAATTTTGATTTCAATCCTATCCTACTCATTTTGTCGTCATACTTCTATTGAATTTCGAAAAAAGCGTGGAATTTCGAGAAATTTTTGAACAAAAGATGGATTAAACTGAGAGTGTATATAAATATTGAAGTTGAGTTGAACATTCATCAGTTTGTATTAGAATATGGGATTCGAAGATTACATCGCGAATGATTTGGATTCGAGTATCAATTATCTAATTCGTTATGGTGAACCTCATCCATATTATTATAATTGTTCAAATATCAAAGACCCATTTGCAATTGGCATGAAAAGACCATTCTGGGGTTTTTATTTCCTAATCACTGGTATCATCCTAATGGTAGGTTTTAAAACAGCTCGGGAAAAATACGGCACCTTTTTAGCACCGAGGCGACAAAAATTGTCGAGGAGTTTTGGCCGCCCCGGTGCTAAAAAGGTGCCGAAATTACGGCACCTTTTTAGCGCCGAGGCGACATTTTCATGAAAAATCATTGTTTTGACCCAAGTTCGATGCCCCTTTCCCGCACCTTTTTTATTTTTTTCGTCTCACTGGCGCACCATTTTAGCGCCGGTGCGTCTCTTCGCGCGCCGTTTTAGCGCCGGTGCGTTCTCTCTGCGCACCTTTTTAGCGCCGAGGCGAGAGCACTTCCCGCCTTGGCGCCCCAGAATGTCGCCTTAGCGCCCCAGGATGTCGCCTTGGTGCCGTATTTTTCCCGAGAGAGAAAAAGATATGACGTGGAATGTCTTTTTGGACCCCATATTACTTTGATGGCTAACCAAAACTTTCTATTCAGGCAATCTACATCCCATGTCTTTATGTGATTTCAAGAAGTGATTTGATGAAATCGTCTTGCTACAAAATCATGTTTTTTCTCGGATTCCTTGATCTCTGCTGTCTTTCCTGTAACTCAATCTCAACTGGTTATTTAGGAATCATCGGTGCCACGTATTGCTCCTACCCCCGCTTCATTTTCTTTATGGGCGGATTGGGATGCGGTTGTTGGATGGGTTCCTGTTCAACATGCATAGTTTTAGCAATCAATCGTTGTTGCGACATCAATCACAACCTTTCATTCCGAAAAATTTTCATTGGCAAGAATATCTACATAACGATGATGTTCCCCTTCATCTATTCGATCTATTCGGTCTTCTTTTGCAAACCTATTCTTTTCAATTCCAATTATATGAGTTGGTTTTTTAACCCGGAAATTGGATTAGAGGTTTGCTCACTTTTCTAGAATAACTAATAACAATAGCATATTTTTCAGAAGCAGAACTATATCAGTATTGCTCACACCGTAAACAATTGCGTAGTTTCAGTCTGCACAACTTGCTTGTATGGATATCTCTGTGTCTTGCTCTTTTTCAAAAACCGTCACGCTCAAAGTGATTCCCTTTCTAAAACTCAAAAACAAATTTTCCTTCAATCAATCATGATTTGCTCATTTAACGCAATCGCCGCCTATATTTACGTCTACATGCAATTCTTTTACTCTCCACCAACAGTTATTCTGATTGGTCAACTCGCGTGGCAATTTGCTCACGGTACTTTGAGCTCTCATAAAAAAAAAAAAAGGATTATATAATTTTTTTATTGTTTTCAGGTTCTGTTGGCTTGGTTTACATTACAATGAATCGTTCAGTTCGTCGCAAAGTGTTCGAAATTCTTATACCAGGATTTATCCGAAGTGGAATGCGTGGTCAAACTGGAACCACTATCAGTCGCCCGGTGGTCAGTGCGGTTGGAATCGAGCCGAAGGGAAATCATATAACTGCTACTAGTAGCGGAACTGTTTTCTAATTGGATTTCTAACAAATAAATATTATTGCAAAATTGAACTTCACTTAAATTTCAGAGAAAAAAAGTGCAAAAAATTCCCAGTAGAATCAAACTCTCAGAATCTCCTACATTAAAATTCTCAAAACAAGTGAGATTCGCCCACAATATATTTTAAATTTGAAACGAAAAAATAAATCTGCAATAATTCAGGTTATGCAAAAAGTTGTTTATTTTTTCTGAATTAAGATGTATGAATTTTTCAATCGCCAAAATGACATTTACGTAAACTCCCGATAGAATTCCTATCTAAAAACAACTTATTGGAATATTTATAGCAACGAGGTGCAAAAATGTGGGAGTTACAAAAATCTCTCTTGCTGAAACAATTTACGTTGAAAGATTAGCTCAAAATGAATTGAAGAGTTAACGTCTGAACGCCAAACTTTCAAAAAATACGAAAAATCAAACTGATAACAAAAGTTGCGATATTGTCGTTCACAGATTTTTCTAATTTCAAAGAACACGAAAAAAAAATCGAAGAGCCGGGTCAAATTATCTGAAAGGTTATGGCAGATTCCATTTTTGTGTTTTCTATTTCTATAAAAAAACCGGACTGGGAAATATTCTCTGATAAAGTCAGGCCATAATTAGCCTATGTGTTTTTTACTCTAATATTCTCCCACGAGAGTTCTTCTTTAATAATATAAAGTGCAGAGTTCTACGCTGAATTTTATTATTTACTGATCCTGTTCTAATATGCTGAACTTGTACCAATTTATTCTCAATGATTTCCAATTAGATCCATTTTTCTATAATTGCACAAATCGAAAGATTCATGAAATTGATAGACCTTTTATTGGCTATTATTTTCTAATATCCGGAAGTGTTCTAATCGTAAGATCTGGTTTTCAGCAAAGAATAATCGAATATAATTAAAATTATTTTCAGATTATTTATCTATCCGCTCTAATTGTTATTGTTACTTCGGATCTAATGAAATTTGCCTCTTATAAAATGATGTGCTATTTAGGAGTTCTGGAAGTATACTGTATTTTTTGCAACTCGGTAATAACTGGATATCTTGGAATACATGGCGCAAACTTTTGCACACATCCTAAATTTATGTTCGTAATTGGAGTTTTTGTAGTGGGATGCTGGAATGGAACATGTTTGACTTGTGTATTCTTAACACTTTCAAGATGTTGTGATTTGAACGCGAAATTGAAAATGAAAGTTATCTTTGAGGGAAAAGCTCTTTATGTCGTTTTTGCAATAATCAATGTTTATACTATTTATTCGATAGTTTTCACCAGTCCTCTTCTTTTTGATAGTTCCAGAATGGGTTGGTTCACAAATCCAATGATTGGCCTACCATCAAATAACTATACCAACATAATTCATACAATCAATAATATATGCGACACAATTCTATCGTTTATTCTATACGCCTATTTATGCTATCTTTTGAAAGTAAACAATCAAACTTCGCAAAATGAAAATGTTCTTCGTACTCAATCTCAAATTTTCATTCAATCAATTCTTATCTGTTTTTTCAACACAACTGCGGCGATAATATATGTCTGGATGCAATTTTATATAGTTTCACCGAATGTTGTTCTATTTGCTCAAATAGTTTGGCAATGGGCACATGGTGATTAGTTTTCAGGATTTTTTATCAAAAAAGTTCAAATGTTTCAGGATCTGTTGGAATTGTTTATATAACTGTTAACAAAACCGTTCGACAAAAATTAGTGAGAACTCTGAGAGCTACATTCTGTTGTCAAAAGTATTCTCAAATCCACCCAACTACTGTAATTATTGTTTGTCAGAATGTTGGAACTACTATGAGTCACGCTAGTGTTGACACAATTTATGCCTGAATTTCGATCAGAAATCCAATGTGACTACGTAACACAAGTAATTGTCTGAATATCAAAAATTTAATCCTGTGTTTTTGAATTTCAAAATTTTTCAAAAATGGGAACAATGAAGAGGGATTAATAGAGTTAGTATAAATATCTTGCTGGAAAATAGCCATAAGAAAATAACAAAAATGTCTGTTGAGCCGCATGATTTAGAGATGAGTCTTAATTATTTCATTCGAAATGGTTTCGAGCTTCATCCATATTTCTACAATTGTACCGGTGTTGATAGCTATGCTTTAGGTGTTCCTCGTCCATTCATTGGAACATATTTTCTAACTGTCGGTATAGTTCTCCTAATGATTTATCTTCCATGTCTCTTTGTAATGGGAAGAAGTGACCTGATGAAATCGTCGTGTTACAAAATAATGTTTTATTTGGGAATTATGGATATCTCATGCATAACTGTGAATTCCGTAGCAACTGGTTGGCTCGCAATTCAAGGCGCCACATTTTGCTCATATCCCAAATTCATTTATGTTATGGGAGCAATCGGATGTGGATTTTGGATGGGTTCATGTGCCACGTGTATTCTTCTAGCTCTCAACCGATGTTGTGATATTAATCAAAATTTTAAGATTCGTAAAATGTTTGTTGGAAATAACATCTACATTGTGATGCTTGTCCCGCTTTCTTACACTATCTACTCAACATTTTTCATCAAACCAGTCGCATTCAATTCCAACTATGTTAGTTGGTTTTTCAATCCTTTCATCCCTGGAATGAATGGTGAATATTACGTGAACATTGCTCATACCATAAACAACTGTTGTGTTTCTCTAACAACTACAACACTTTACGTACTATTGTGCTGCTCGTTGCTCCATAAAAGTCGACATTCTTCATCAGAAGCTCTTTCGAAAACTCAACGACAAATTTTCATTCAATCCATCTTGATTTGTTCAATCAACGCTATTGCTGCCTATATTTATGTCTATATGCAATTTATTCCACCACCACCATTTGTAGTACTTATTGGACAACTTGCTTGGCAATGTGCGCACGGTAAGTTCGAATTCTACATCAGCTCTAGAGAAGTTCAGTGTACAGTCATTTCTTGAATTCCGAGTATTGGTAAATTACACTTGAGGATTTGAGAATTTGGGTTTGACGCAGAAACATTTGAATTCTCAAAATCGAATCAAATTTAATAGAACTACAAAAATGTACCCTAGGTGCGTTTCGTCCACGTATAGTTTGAGAAAATTATTGTTTTTTTTATTAATTGAGAAAAATATACAAAATGTTTCTCTCATTTACCTCTCTTCACAACTGATAATGATCGAAAACAAACACGTTCCAGGTTCGGTTTGCATCGTCTACATAACAATGAATCGTACAATTCGTCGCGGTGTGTTTAAACTTTTCTGTCCCCAAAATCTTCAATCTCATCTGAATATGAAAACCACCACTATTACAACCGAAGTTAGACCGGTTTCAAAGGTAATCACAAGTGTTGCGGCAACCGCAACTTCTAGCGAAGCTGTTTTCTAATGACGATAATAAAATTTTGCGTTTTTTTATAATTCGTATCCTCATGCATAAATGTTTAAAGTTTCATTTCGTTTCTAGCGGAACAGCAAAAATAAAAAAGAATTGGTCAATATATACAAACAATGGTTTGAGATGTTTTAGAAAATAAAGTAGAAGAGATCTGCAACTATTCTACGATAAATAATGTCGAGTTGGTGATTTAGTGAGTTCTGTAGCTGTCAGCTGGTTTGACTGGGGCTGGAGCTTCAGTCTGAAAAGTATAAAAATTAAGGAATGTTTTGAAAGTAGGATGTCTTACTGGTGCTTGATATCCTGCGGCTGGTTCTGGAGCAGCGACTTCCTCTTCTGGAGCTTCATCGTCGTATGAAGCTTCTTTGGTTTCAGCGGCTGGGGCAGTTTGTTCGTATCCTGGTTTCTCTTCCTGAAATTTATAGTGTTATGATGTCAAAAATGAAACTGAAGCCACGTGCAAGATTAGAAAAATAAAAACTAGAAGTGTGTTAGTCTATTCTTACAGTATAAATTGGTGCTGGTGCAATTTCTGGTGCGGTTTCAGTAACAACTTGTGGTGCTTGTGTAGCCTCTGGGATATATTCAGTGGCTGGTTGTGGTGCGAATGTGACAACTTCTTCAACATGCTCTTCATAAGAAGCAGATGAGGCGACAGCCACTGGTGTGACTTCTTCCTCTTCTTCCTCTTCTTCCTCTCCACCTTGTTCAACTTCAATTACCTCAACAACTTCTTGTGGTGCAACTGGTGCAGCAGTGCTTGGTTGAATAGCGTATTCAGTGACAGATGGGGCTTCAGTTTCGATTGGTGCAATTGGTGCTTCAGTTTGTGCTTCAGTAACAACCTCTGGAACAACTTCTTCAATAACTTCGGTGATGATTTCGGTGACTTCTTCAACTGGAGCTGGCTCGGTAGCGGCGGTGACAACTTCTTCAACAACTTCTTCCTCAATAACGGCAGCGGTGGTTTCTTCGACAATTTCTGGTTGAACGTTTTCGTATGTGGCAGATGAGGCAGCTGGGGCTGGGGCTTCGGTGACAATGGTTTCTTCAACAACAGTGTTGGTTTGTTCGGTTGGAACGATTGGTTCATCTCCGTAACCTCCTCCAGCGGCGGCTGTGGCTCCTCCATTTGATGTGACAACGGTTTCTTCGACGTGAACTGCAGCTGGTCCTTGGTTATATCCTCCAACAACTGGGGCAATTGGGGCAACTCCTGGAATTACTGGAGCTGGTCCTTGATTGTATCCTCCGATAACTGGGGCAACTGGGGCTGGTCCGGCATTGTAACCTCCTGCTGGAATAGCTGGTCCTGCATTATATCCTCCGGCTGGAGCAATTGGAGCTGGTCCTGCGTTGTATCCTCCTGCTGGAATAGCTGGCGATGGTCCTGCGGCATATCCTCCGGCTGGGGTTTGAATATGTGGTGCATCGTATGAAGCTCCATAAGCGTTGATTGGGGCTGGTGGGGGTGGGGGTGGGGCGGCATATCCTCCAATTGCTGGTTGTGGTGGGGCAGCATATCCGATTGGTGGACGTGGATATCCAGCGGCTGGGGCGGCATATCCAGCAGCTGCTGGTGGACCACCACATGGGTTGGCGCAAGCTGGAGCGGATGGTTGACAGCAACCACCACCTCCTCCAAGACCTGGAAGGCCTGGAAGACAAGCGAGCGCTGGGCTAGCAAGAAGTGAAAGGATGAAAAACTGAAACAAACAAAATAAATATTCAAACAAAAAATAAAGAAAAATATAAGGTGAAACTCACACTTGCCATTCTTTTCTGACTGATCGAAAGACGCAGGCTTCTGAGAGGTTAACGAGCTTAAGTAGTTGTAAGGCAGCTGATGCTAACACGCCCACTTTGCCGCTTGCCCTTGACGTAAACAGTTTTTTTTGCGTGCCTATCCGCTGCCTCCTACCTGGCGGGAGAAAGAGGAGGGTGAAAGAAATCGAAACTGGAAAATCTACACACATTCCTAGAAAAGAGAGAAAAATGTTACGTAATTTTTGATTGATGCGAAAAGGATAGTCGTTCGATAACAATTATTGAAATGACCATGTAATAAAGCTTCAGCATAAATTTGAACATTGATGTTATTCCGAGTAAACTTTTGTTAAAAGTTAGGATTATGACGAATGTTTCGTTCTACTGGATGACTGAAAAACTGGATAAATGTTTTGCTTTAATTGCTAATGAAAGTTATCAATGTCCAGAAAAAGAAGATAACGGTCATTTTCTAGCTTTCGATGATTAAAAATTGTCTGGAACTGGACTTAGTCACTGTCTTGTGACTATTAGTAGAGGTATGGTTAAAACCACTGATCTCTGTATGTGCCAATTTTGTGTTGTTTTTCAGATCTTCTTTCTTTTCTAGTTTTTTCTTCATGATTTTTTAATTTTGGTTCGGATTTCCAATAAAAGTTTAGAAAAAAATTGGTAAAAAAATTCCGATGAAAAACTAGAGTTTAGTTTGAGCCTTTTTTTTGCGCATTTTTTCTCAAAATAGAAATTTTCTTGAAAAGTTCAAATTGTCTAGTTATAAATATGAACAACGATGTGATTACTCATTCAATCAGATTTTCTATTGTGACTCATCAAATTCCACTTTCTCCATTTCCACATTTTTTCCACCCAAATTAAATTCCAAAACGAGTTGTAATAATACCTCAAAGATACCAATCCAAACCACACCAAACTGTCTCAAATATTTTTTAGTACTCAAACCAAACATTCGATTGATAACCGATTCGCTTGATTAATCACTGTTGATTTCGATTTCAAACAGAACAAGCTTAATTATTTTTTGCGTATATCTAATTATGATTTTCACTTTCTAGCGATAGTCGGAAAGAGAAGGGATTGCGCAATCAGGTTAGAAATGTTTATCTCGAAAAGGGATCTGATCGTTTTTTTCATTGAAACTGTTTTAGTGGATTTGAAAGTGTTTAGAATTGAATTGAGTTTCAGTTTTTCCCTTACACTTTTCATTTCAATTCACACTTTTCGACAACTTTTTTAAAGATGGATAGCAAGTCTACACAGGTGACATTTTTAACGAATATGAGAGAAATATAAAATCTAATTTGTGAAAATCCAGAAAACTACGGTAAATAAATTGAGCCCGTTTCAGATATATAGGATAAACAATTTTGTAATTTCAATGTGTTGAAAGTCGGTAGAAAAAAACAAACGTCCAATAACGACAAGGACAAAATATTGAAATCAAAGACGAAATAATAACTCGCTAATCACTTTCAAAGCAATATCGATTTCGTGCGTTCGGTTCTTTTCAAACTTTGGAAATTGCAAAATGTATTCGCGTAATTTGCATAAATCTCAGAACCTCGAATTTTCTCAAACCCCAAAAAAAACTCACATTTCTTCCGGTTTTCCTCGAAATTCAGAATCATTTGACCAACAATTTCCTCTTTAATTCTTCCGATTCTTCCGATATTTCCACCATTTCTCTGACCATTTTCCTGTAATGTAGAAATTAGCAAAATCTATATAAAGTAAACCAAAAGTAAGAAAAATTAAATTTCATTCAATCTCTCTCTTATAAAAAGCGAAATCACTGAAAATTTGGCGTCACATCAAGTGTTTCGATGTGAAATACCGCTTCGTTTTTTCAAAAAATCAAGAGAAAGGATCACATAAAAAGTATAACAGTTAGGAACACAGTGATTCTCTCCAATTATCTTCCCTTTAGAAAAACGCAAGAAATAAATGCTCTCCTAAAACCGTAAACACCTCCACACTAACACCACGACGCGACCGTGCACACTGGCGACTTGCCAATAGCAGCAAATGCGCTCTGTTTCACACTCATTTTAATTTTCTTTTGTTTTCCTTGGGAACCCGGAAATCGGGATTTTGGGGACCCGGGAGGAGTTTTTCTAACCTAAACAGTTATTACTTGGCTGTAAGGAACCGCAGGCATTTGAAGTAGGTCGTTTTATCTGGGATTTTAGCTCGGGAACCCTTAAAATTTCTCACCATCAACGTAAATTTGTCAGATTCAAAGGGACACACTTAAAAACACTTTCTGCGCAGGGCCCCCTACACAACGTTTTACGGTGACACAGGCGAGAGAGAAACACCCGAGGAGACGCAGAGAACATTGAAGTGCGCTCTACCGAACACAAAACGTTTTTCTTTTTCAAACCAGTTTTTATCAGTTTAAAGTGGGGTTTCCAGAATAATAACTTACCGGCATTGATTTTAATGAGATGAATCTGAAATTTTTCAGGAGAAGACAAAAAAGTTTATAGGAAAAATGCTATTTTACCGTGTAAAACAACAAAAAGAGCTGAAGATGGCAGAAAATACACATTAGATTAAATAAATGATATACAATGCTATAAAACATACTGTCCGTTCGCCAGCGAAGGAAACGCGCCCCATCGCACTTCTTTTTTCTGCTGCCCCGATTTTTTTTTGTTTTTGAAAAAACGGAAATTTCCGTTTTTTTTGTGTTTTCAAGTTGTTTTCGAGACTTTTTTCAGAGTTTTTTGATTTAGATAGATGAATTGGGGGTAGAGTGTTCACCTTTCACGTGATTTGTTTTGTTTTGTGAGTTTTTAGTGATAAAAAACGCAATTTTTCAATTTCCAGGATTTTCCGAGACCGAAAAATGTCGAAAAAACCATCTTTTCGAATGGTATTTCGAACTTTCTGTCACCTCTAGGTAAGTTAGCAGTACATCAGAGTGTTCAAAATGCATATTTTTTGATTTTACAGATGTTCGAAAATTGCACGATTTTGGCTCAAATTTGCACAGAAAATCGATTTTTGGTATGAATATATAAGAAAGAGGCAAAGACATACATTTGAGGAGGATTGGGCATCTTCCCTATCAATATTGGAGCAGTCTCATCGCAATTTTGAATTATTCTAGTTGGGATTTATGAAAATTTCGGGAAAAATCGCCAGGCGGAAAGAACAATTGATTATGTGACATTAGGAGCAGGAAGATTATCAATGTGAGTAGTGAGGTAAGTGATCTTAAGCGCTCATTCGGCTTGATTTGACAAATTTTAGAAATAAAGTGCAAAACACGTTTTTATTTCTGGAAAATCTTCGAAAAGTCTGTTCTTTTCACTCAAAAAAATGTTATTGCAAATCGCAATGCTAGCTATCTAAACTGGTTGTACATCCTATTTCATTTTTGACAAGTGAAAATAAAAAATTTTCTTTTTATATGCACAAAAAGTTAACTTTTATCAAGATAAAGTTTGAACAGTATAAAACTCAACAAAAAGCTGGAAATTTCCATCTAAAATCTCGAATCAAAATTCTTTTCTGGATTTTGCAACATTCTGAACATTTTCAGGTTCATCTATTCTACTTGGCGCCACTATCTTCGACTGATTCAACAATTTCACGATTTTTTTTCAAATATATTCAAGTTTTCATAATTTTTCTATTTTTTTCTGTCGATAAACTTTTGATCCAGTATATTTTACTGGAAAACTGCGTTTTTTCATAAAATCACAGAATTTTTACTTAAATATTATTGTTTTTCGCAGTTTTTTGGCAAAAAAACGATGAAAATTTGAGTGGAAACAATATGTAAGTATTGAAAATTTCATAATTTTCATTTAATAATGCAATCTTGTAGACCGATCTCTAAAAACTGGAAATTTGCATGAAAAAAACCCCGAGAAAAAACTTCATGTTTGAATCGCCGCGCAAAAAAATGTGCTGTTTATCAATGGGGCGCGTTTGCCTGCGTTTCCTTCGCTGGCGAACGGACAGTAAATAGTTACATGGGATTTCAATTATTCTCAATGTTCTCCCTGATTTTCGAAAGCGAACGGCGAAATTGGCGATAGTCATCACAGGTTTCCGGCAATCGCCATCACTCAAAACGCAAATTCGGCGGGATTTTCGAGACTTCCAATTGAATTCGTCCTCAAGAGCATCATATTTTCAATCAATGGCCATTTATCATTCATTTTGTTGAATTCTCACTTTCCGATTTGCATCATCAACAGTCGCTTGAACAGATTCACCTCTTAGCAACACCAGGCAAATTTCACATGCCATTTTTAGCAGTTGTTTCATATTCAATAAATTGGGCAAGCGGAAGGTCATCAATAACTCGAATGATACTTAGCATTTCCTCAGCTTGATGAAAATAACAGCAATTCGATTCCGAGAGTTTGATTGGTTCGCTGGCAGTTTTGTCGAGATTGATGGTGGGAAACTTTCGGTTTGGATGTTGTCAAATCCTTTATTCCTCATAATAATCCTATCTTTAACCGCTTTGATACAATAAAATCTGAAAAAACATAAAATTGGGGAATGTTCAAAATAACAAGTAAACTGACCTGTTTTTTCGTGTGTAGATGACAAAATCGACGTTCCGTACCAACCCAACATGCTGAAAAATGTTCTACAGTTGAAAATATTACTTATTAATCGAGAAAACATCGATAATCAGCTGGAAAGGAGAACAAAAACAAAAAAAAAACAAAAAATGAATTTCGAAAATGAAAAAAAACTGGTGCGAACAGTTCGATAGAGCGCACTTTCTTTCTTTTTTTTCTCTGCGCCCTCCAAAAACGAAAAACTCTCACCTGTGTCATTTTTGTTCAGGCTTAAAACGTTGTGCCCTAGTTGGCACAAAAACAGAAAATTAATTGAATGACTTTTACAACGACACTCCGCTTGCCCGCTGTTTAGCGCAACACGAGAATATTTTCATTTTTCGTTTTTTTCACTGGGTTTTCAGGTTTCCGGGGAAAATCAGTGGATTTCAATTAAAAATTGAATTTTTAGATGTTTTACAAGGCTGCAATCATCGCTTCCGACGGAAAATCCGAGGATTATCGAAGAAATGTGGGTTTTTTCTAGAGAAACACTGTTTCCTCTGAAAAATAGCTGGAAAATTATTGCGAGACCCAGAAAGCCCTCAGAAATCTATAGAAACAGAAATGGAGTTAGCAGAACTCAATGGTATATGAAAAATTCAAATATTTTCTGATTTTCAGCTTGAAATATTAATGGGAAATTGGATTTCAATGTCAATAGCGTGGAAAATTGGAGGATTTCGGATGTTGATTGGGATTGTCGAATTTTCTATGTTTGATTCCAGTAATAGAAGCGATTGGTGAGTTTTTTGGGGAGGGATTTCGGAATTTCTAAAAAAAATCCCAAACCAAAAGAAAAAAACGAAAAAAATAAGAGTCTTCGATTTTTGTTGTTTTGTGCAGGCGGGTTTTCCATGGTTTTCGAATTCGTTTCTGAAAAATTTATGATTTTTCTTGGAAATATCGTATTTTCCCTGATAATAGTCAAAATTTCCCTCCTTCTTGAATAATTCCACGTTTTCTTTTCAAAAAAAACTTGAAAAGCGAACCTCGATCTCTCCCTTCACAGTTTTTCCAACCAAATCAAGTCGACAAAGTCGAGAGTATGACCAAAAACAAGTTAGGGTAACTCATGTCGAGGTTCCTGACAATTGCAATGGCTAATGCTCAACTTAAGAAGCTTTACTATCCAGAGTTAGGCTAAGTTGAGCTGTACTTTACTCCAGGAGAAACACGTGAAATTATTCGCAAATAGGTAGGTTAGGAATTCGGGGAGCCCCAAGATAAAAAACTCATCTGCCATTTTGTTGCTCGCCGAAAATATGAAATAACTGAAAAATTATCGTTGAAATGGCATTTGCCACGACAAATTTCACGTTCACGCAAAAATACATTACTTTTTCTCTCTGTTTTTTTTGTGTGTTTTTTTGCTGACACAAAAAAAGAAGATCGGTAAATAAGAGAAAAAATGAAAGTTTTTAATAGTTTTTTGTGGCATTTGCACATATAGAAACGATGGATTACTAAAAACTTTCTGACTTCTTAAATGTTTTTTCTTATTTTTAACTTTTTCTCATTCATACCTCACATTATACCTTTTCATTTTCACACATTGAAAGAGATACCAGTCATCATTAAAATTTCAATTCTCCGTCGTCAGGTTTTTAATGTGTATTGCGTAACCGATCCGACGATCCATTTTTATCGTTGTCTTTTATCTCAACAAGTTTTTTTCTTCGCAGCTTTTCCCTCAACCGACCTTGAAAAGAAAAGAAAAAAAAAGAAGAATAAAAATAACGATACTTTTTTGAGGGACCAAATACAAGTAGGAATAAATATTTATTTTTATTATAAGTTTAATACCCATTGGGTGGAATGCTTTGGAAGGCGTTGCACATAATTGAGATTGCGATGAAATGTGTCAAAAAAAAAAAAAGAACTAGTTAGTTATTTACAAGATGAATCTTCCGTATGGTGCGATTTCGATTGGTTCGGTTACAACTGTTTCAGCTCCCTTTGCAACTTTTTGAAATTTGCTTCCATATTCTTGAACAGCTGGTTCAACTTCTTCTGGTTGAGATGTGCTAACAATAATATTCTCATCATATTCAGCTCCACCAACATTTTCTGTAACAGCTGGGGCAGCTGGAGTTGTGACAACTGAGCCTTCAGCAGTGATGTTTTCAAAAACTTGTTGTTCTGGGGCGGCTGTAGATTGAACTGCAACAACTGGAGGAGCACTGTAGGTTTCAGCGACAACAATTGGAGCAACTGTATAGGTTTGGGAAACTGCAACTGGGACAACTGGAGCAGCTGTATAGGTTTCAGCTATAACAACTGGGGCTACGGTATAAGTTTCAGCAACGACAACTGGAGCAACTGTGTAGGTTTCGGGAGCTACAAATCCAGCAGTTGGAACTGGTTGAAGGTGAACTTCTGGTTGTGGAATGATTTGTGGAAGTTGCTCTGGAACATGTGGTTGTGGAACACTTGGTTGATATGGTTGAATTGGTTGAACACTCGGAACATCTTTGCGATCTTCGTTGAGTTGAGCTGGAACTGATGGGGTATCATAATCCGATCCAGCTTCAGTTTCGATGATAACTTCTTGATGAACTTGTGGTTGTTGTGGTTCAACTGTGACTTGATGGAAGTCAAGGTTTCCTTGTGCGACTGGGGCTGGAGTTACAGTAACTGTGTCGAGAGTTGCGAGAAGTTCATTGACAGTCGCTTGTTCCTTATTGACTTGTTGTTGATAAGTTTGAGCTGGAACTACTGGAACTTGAACATGGGCTGGTGTTTGAGGAATCTCGTAATGTTGAACTTTCTGAAAAACATTGAGTAATTGTTTGAGTCTCAGATAAACGATCTAGGAACTAACAGTTTCGACTACGATAGCTGGGGCTGCGGTAGTTTGTACAACTTCTGGAACAATTTCAGCAACAACATGTTGTTCTGGAATGACACGAACTTGTTGTTCGACGGAGTTTGAAGCACTTTCGACTTGAACTTGATGAGTTGATTGATGTTCAGCAGATTCGGAAGAGGAGGATGATGATGATTTGACAGCTTGTTCGTCTCCATACCCAGTTTGAATACTAGAGACAACATTGTTTTGGGAGACTTCAGCTGGTTGAACAATATGTTCCTCAAGGACTGCGCTAGCTGGCAAAACCTTGCTGATGACTTCGGAGGTTGCGGCGATTGGTTGAACATTTACAGCTTGTGGCTCAATAGCAGCTTGAATAACTTGTTGAACTGGAGCCTGTAATTGGAATAAAAATTGGAAACTTATTTGTTTTGTTGAACTTAGTATTTGGAAAACTTTCGATTTCTAGGTTTTTTTTTTGAATGGGAAGGATAAAGATATTGCATAATCGGAAAAGAAAAGATGTTCAATGATGCATAGAATTACCTCCGCATATGGCGACGCGCCAACAGGTTGTCCTAACAAAGGAATAGCTGCTGCTGGTTGCTGTTGTTGTAATGGTTGGCCAGCAAATCTGTTTGGAACATCAGCATAAGCACCACCGGCACCAATTTGTTGGGCAGGTTGTTGAGCATAAGTAGCCGGGGCAACATTGAATGGTGCGGCTGATCCATAGAATCCACCGGCTGGAGCTTGTGGCGGGGCGATGTAAGCGTTTGGTAGTGGTGCAGGTGGCGGGGCTTGATAGGCGAGAGCTGGAGCTGAGACTGGTGGTGGAGCACAACATGCTCCGCCACCACCTCCACCGAGGCCAAGTCCTCCCAAACCAGGAAGGCAAGCGAGGGCTGGGCTAGATATGAATGTAACCTGGAAATATTATAATGAACCTAGTGGTAGTCCCAGGTTAATTTCTCCTAGCGTGCTTTTAAAAATTCACTCGAAAGGAAAAGTTATTTTGAAGCAAACCGATAATTAAAATTTAAAAGTTCTAATTGTAAGCTCTGATCGCGACGTGCAAAGTTCAAATGTAAATTAAAAAAACTAATCGTAATTTTATTTTGAAATTTTCTATTCTCTCAAACAAACCAGAGAAGTTCAAAATATTTCAAAACTCTATTCAAACTTTATAATTATAATTTTGGAAAAAAAACAAATTTTCAAAAAAAGTAACCGAACTGTAGCGTTTTTTGAAGATTTACGATGAGGACAAAAAATAAATTAAAAAAAATAATATTTAAAAAATTCCAAAAATAAGAAATTAACACGTACGTGAACATTTCTTTTCTCAAAGTATCATTTCTCAAAGTAAAATAAAAATCAACTCACCAAAACAGAAATTTTGAACAACAACATCATTTCCTAGTAAATGATTCAAAAAATAAATAACAATAAAATCTGCCATAAATCGTTGGCATATATAAAGGCAGGTAAGGCCACACCTCTTTCATCAGGTTTCAAGCTAAAAAAAACGACGGAAAAGCTTCGAAGTTCAATGGGCCGCAAAAATGGGCGGAGTCACGATGAATAATGGCAACAACAGCCAAAAAACATAAGATGATGAATGTTGTGATAATGAATTCGAAAATGGATCATTGATTTGTTAATTAATTGAAAGTTATGTTATTGGATTTTAAAAGGTTGAAAATTTATTTGCTATCAACTTTCGTTAATGTGGATTTGGTTACACTTTTTGATTTAATTTTATGGAAAAAAATTGGGATTCTGTTTCGACCAAAGAATTTTTTAACAAATTTGCATAACTCATTTTCACAGCATGGCTTACTCCCGGGTGGCTTCCCAGGAATTTGCAATTTACAAATGTGATTTTTGATTCGGAGAGCGGGGATTTAGAATATCTCAAAAGTTACGGAAATTTGGAGAAGGGATAGTGGTAGAGTAGTGAGATCGTAATGGGAAGTCCGGAAACTAATTCGACTCTTTCAGTCCAACTGGGGCGAGATTTGGTTGAGGTCCGTCAATTTTCATTCCACAAGTCAGCCGGTTCTTAAACTGTGCTTTTTATATAAATAGTTTTATGACTTTTTCAAGTTTACGGAGCAATTTGTATGTTTTGTTTAAAAAATTTTACAGACACGTTTCTTTTCTATTCCAAAACTGCTTCAATTTTTTAAAATTCTCACCCAAATTTTCAATTCCAGAAAAACTTCTCCACTTCCCAGACTAATTCATTTCCTACGCAAACGAAAAATCGTAGTGAAAAACACATAATAAATCTTACAAACCTATAAACTTTTTTCTTTCCTGCATCGTTAGAAAAATGCTTGTTCTCACATTAAAAAGTCCACCTATTGTGTTGTTATCAAATCAAATTATTACGCAATATCGTATATCTTCTTCTTTTCTACACATCCAGAAAAACCTTTTCCTCACCCTAACAAGTTTTAAGGATTGCGAAAAAAAAGGAGAAGAATATATCTTTTTATGGGTTATAATATGAAATGTATACATCAAGCAAGATGGTTATCTATTCACAAAAATAACAATGAAATTCTTTTTTTTTGTTGTTGAAGATTTTTAAACGTGTTCCAGTTTTTTTCTGTTTCGAGAAAAAAAATGAGGTTTTGTTTCTGTCAGTCATTTTTCATAATGGAGTCGATAACAAATGGTGAGATAAATGAGGGACCTAGGAATTCTTGAACCTGTTCTGATTGTGAAAAACTTGGAACATCAAGTTTTTTGTATTATGGTCACTTGTAGATCATCCTCATTTTATTGTAAATAAATAGAAGTAGGCTAGGTTGATAACCGAGGAAAGAAGGATCAAAAAACTGATTAAGCGAGTCACCAACTAACTAGACTTTTTCTATCAAAACAGTGTAATAATTTTCCAGATAATCCATCGGCTACCACAACATTGTTAGGAAATGAAGATGGAAATAGTGAATGGTCTAATATCGTTACGTTACAATGGAATAATATTCGTGTGAAAACTAAGGCTGGAAGAGTTTTACTGGATGGTGTTAGTGGATGTGCTGTTCCGGGAGAAGTTGTTGCATTGATGGGTGCGTCTGGTGCGGGGAAAACTACTTTACTCAACACTTTATTGCAACGAAATCTGAAAGTGAGTTCAAAAAAAAACGAAATTTATTAATAGAGTTGAAAATTCGCTCTAATGCAAACGGGTCCCACACCGATTGACTGGCTCTAAAAAGAATTGCCTTGAAAATTCAAAAATAATTACTTATTTTGTCAAAAAAAGTGTTTTTTCAGGGTCTTGAAGTGGAAGGTGAAATCTTGGTGAATGGTCAAAACATTGGAAAAGGTGTCACAAGTGTTTCAGCCTATGTTCAACAAGAGGATTTATTTCTGGGAACACTAACAGTCCGTGAACATTTGGAGATTCAAGCAAAATTGCGATTACCATCTAGTTTTTCGGCGGAGGACAGGAAAAATCGAGTAGATGATGTGATGCGCGAAATGATGCTGGAAAAGCCGGCAAAAAGTCGAATCGGTGTGCCGGGAATCAAAAAAGGTATCTCTGGAGGAGAAATGAAAAGATTGGCGTTTGCAGCTGAGATGATTAATAATCCTCCAATAATTTTTTGTGATGAACCAACAACTGGTCTCGATTCTCATATGTCTTTGCAAGTTGTCAAAGCTTTGGAAGAAATGGCTGTCGAAAAGGGAAAAACGATAATTTGCACGATACATCAGCCATCATCCGAAGTGTTTGAGATGTTTGACAAAGTTGTGTTTCTTGCGCAGGGAAAAATCGCGTTTCATGGAGCGATTGATGAGGCAATTCATCATTTTGCGGATTCAGGATTTATGGTTCCCGATCATACAAATCCCGCGGACTATTACATTGATGTAAGCCTTTTTTTAGTAATGAGATTTCATATGTTTTTTCTTGTTTCCAGATTCTTGCAATCCGCCCGTCTGAAGCTGAAAAGTGTAAAAAAGTTTGCAAATTTCTGACTGATGATTTCTCAAAAAGCAGTTACAAGAAGAAACTTTTGACAATTATGGACAAAACAAAACATGCAAAAGCAATGACTCCTCATCGCGGTGCAAATTATCTAAATATTTTATTTGCACTTTTATATCGCTATAGTTTGGATAATCTTCGGAATCCGGCAATCATGAGAGCAAAAGTTGTTCAAAAAATATTCATGGGATTGTTTCTTGGCTTGTTATTTTTCCAATTAGATGTTGATCAAGAAGGTTTATCTGGTTATAAAGGCGCATTGTTTTATTATATCTCAGAGCTCACATATTCAACAATTTATGGAATTCAAGCATTTATGCCAGCTGATTATCCGCCTTTACTTCGAGAATATCATGATCGAACTTATCCTTTGTCATCATATTATTTAGCAAAACTCTTGTCATTTTTGCCAATCTTCACAATTGATGGAATGATTCTTGTTTTTTGTTCATATTTTTTCGTTGGATTTCCTATAACTTTTCTTCAATTTATGAGACAATTATTCACTTGTATGGTTATTGAATGGAATGTTGCTGCGTTGGGAATTGCGGTTTGCGCGGTAATTTATTTATTGGAAGTTTTTTGAAAATATTCATATTTTTATAGACAGCCCCATCTTATGCGATTGCGGTTACTGTAACTGGCCCAATTTTAACCGTGTTTTCTTTAACTGGTGGAATCTTCACAAATACTGCTGAAATGCATGCTTGGATCAGTTGGGTGCAATATTTATCTTGGTTTAGATATGGTTTTGAATCACTGACTGTCAATCAATTCACCCATGAAAAATTTGCCAATATTTCTTGTGAAGTTCGAACACCGGATAATGCGAATTATCAACTTCCAGAAGGACAATGTGAATCAAACGGGATGAAAGTAATTGAGAATTTCAATTTCCATCCGGATAATATGTATTTTAATTGGTTGGCTATGATTTATCTGACTGTTATGATATATGTTTTGGGATATATTGGTTTGGTGAGACGTGTTATGGCGGAGAAATAAAGTGATTTTCGGTGAGACATTGTTTTTTTTTTCAAAAATTAGAAGGTAGAACATTTCAAAGATTAAATTTCGGTGGCGCTAAATGTTTTTATTAAAAAAACTTCGAGAAAACATTTACTTGAAATTACTTTTCTCATAAATTTTCTGGTTTTTCGACCAAGATATTTCAAGCCAAAAAGTTAATTTGCAAAATAGAAAACGTATTTATTTATTTATTTACAAAAATTCAAAAAACCAAAACATAATTCAACAATCAACTCAAAGAGCATTCTTTATTTTATCAAATAATCCTTCCTCAGTTGTCACAACTTCATTTTTTCCAATCACTGCATCTTTTTCAATGGTATCCAGAGCATTTCCAGCATATTGCTCAGCTTGATCTACAAATCCTCTTTTTGCGCGGGAAATCGCATCCTCAACCGCGTCAGCTCCACTCGACGCGAATTCCTTGGTCTTGTTCCATGTTCCAGATGCTAGATCTTTTGCATCTCCCCAACTATTTGATGCAAGATCTGCTCCGTCAGATGCCAAATCTTTTGTTGTATTCCAAGCTGATTTGGCGCTTTGGAAACCATCAGAAGCCAGATCTTTCGTTTGGTTCCAAGTTGATGATGCGATTGATTTAGCTCCTTGGAATCCGTCAGATGCTAGATCTTTTGTCTGATTCCAAGTATCGGAAGCAGCGCTGTGAAGTGTTCCAGCTGTGTCAGATGCAAAATCCTTGGTTTTGTTCCAAGTGTCAGATGCTGTTTCGTGAAGTGTATCAGCTGCATCCGATGCAACATCTTTAGTTTTGTTCCAGGTATCTGAAGCAGCATCTCCGACGGTATCAGCAGCTCCGGATACTGTAAGTAATTAGTCAATTATAATACTACTAGAAAATTTAGAAAATCTTAAAATGATGGTAAACCAACCTTTTTCGACTATCGTATCCCAAAATCCAGCTGATACAACTGTTGCCAATAGGAAAATCAGAACAAACTTCATATTTTTTGAAAAGTTTTTGTTTTGACAAATACGCAATAAGTCCTCATTTTTTATATTAATACATTCGAAAAGGATTTAGTGGGATAAAAACACGAAAGGATTACAAAAATACAATGACAAATTTATTGAAAAAACAAAACAACGCGCCGAAAATCATCGATAGTTCAAGGTTTTTCGGGGGTAAATTGATACTTTGATGTCTGACGGATTTTTGAAAATTGTAGACTTTTTGGAAACAGATCTGTGCACATTTTCGGTGGACTTTAGTTCGAGCTCTTGAGTTCCTGAATTTTTAAAAACCCTGTTAAATTGACATCGTGGTCCGATTAAGAAGTTCTCAAAATCAGTTCCACTTCGAAAACTCCCGAAATTTTCACTTGTTTTCACAATTATAATTAATTGACAGTTATATATTTCGCAATTTAGTTATCAGCAAATGTTTGTCTTCAAAAAACACTTTGTCCTAAAAAATGATGAAATTAGGTTTTGCTGATAAAAATGTGTTATCTTTCTATTATCGATTTTCCCTGCAAAAATTATACAAAAAATATAACTGTTGTCAACTTTATGTGCATCCGGATTGCTCATATTAAAAAAGCTCAAAATTGTCTCAAATAAATCTCGTTCGTGTGTTCTCATTCGATACATTTCCTGAAGTGAAATTGTGTTTTTTACCGAGCTGAAAATGTTTTTGAAAAATTCTTTGTACATTTCGATAGAGCGGAAAAATCGTTTCATGTGTTCGATTTCCTGGAATTGATATTTGTGATTTCAAAAGAATCTTTGTGCACTTACAATTTGTGTTTTCCTCAGTTCGTATTTCATTTTGGCCATTTCTTGCTCACTTTTTGCTCGTGATTTCGTTGAACCATAGGTATTTGGATTTTTCTGAATTTTTGAAATTCATTCTGTTCAAAGAAATTCTGCCACGTCATAACAACCTACCATTTTCTGTTCAGCGTTTTCGGAAGCAATATGGTATGATTTTAAAAGTTTCTCATAATTTTTATTCAATGCAATTAAATCTGGATGATCTCTTATTCGTGAAAATTCTTCATTGAAATGTTGTTCAGTTTTCTCAAAATCATTCAAAGCCTTTGTGGTGTCTGATTTTCTAGCGTAGTTTTGAATGAAATCGTGGATATAACAGAATATTGTTTTCTGAAAATGAAATCGTTTCTAATTTTTCGATCCAAACCCACCAGTTTATTCTTCTTTCCAATCAGTAGATTCAGCTCAGTTTCATAATTTTTACATTCATTTTCCAAAGCACAACGCTCATGTTTCTTTCTCATATTATAATTTGCCGTGTTTTGTCGAGCACCCCAACGTTTTCTATTCAATCTTTCCGATTCGCTCTAAACATAACCTGAGCAATGTATCTGTCTCTTTTGATGTGAATTGATACTTACCATGCTCATAATATCAATTTTCTTGGCTCGCCTTCTTTTTGGCTTAGAACTCGACATTTCTCTCACTTCTTCCTCTTCTTTTATCTTTTCAACTTTTTGATCTGCTATACTAATAACTTCACAACATTTTTCTTCAGCGAAATTATTTTCCTGGACAATATTATTCAAATTATTCTCTATCTGAACTTCAGATTCTTGTTTAATTATCGTTTCTTCTTCTTGTTTTGGTATCGAATTCTGAAGATCTATCATCCTTGGAAAAAATAACATATGATAAAATGGTCCTATTGTACTCCACTGATCATTGTATATCATATAAGGAATTCTCAAACACACCCACTCTATCAAACCAAATTCTGCATGAATTTGATATATTTGCATTCTGTAATGAAGATGAACATAAGTTGCGAAATGTTGAAATAAAAATATTTTCGAAAAAAAAATTGAGAAACAAATGTGTATAACTGTGAGCGTTTGTTATCAAATCGTTGATAACAGCAAAATTGGCATTCGAAAAATTGCATTGATTAAAAAAAACGACAAGGTGAAACTTCTTCAGAAACATTTTTATTATGTATAAACCCGTGAGAGAACAAAAACATAATTTGGTCACGAGGAATTGGGCCAGGTCCGAATTTTTTGGGCCGATAGGGCCAGGAGATCTTTGAATTGTTTACAAGTTCTAAAAAACCGGTTTTTTTTCATATTTCGTCATGAAAACAGATGACTTTAAAAAAGGTTAACAGATATATGAAAAATTTCGAAAATAGTCCAATCAATTAAACCTGGCCCTATTCCTCGATTTCAAGAAAGTCTTAACGACGATTGAAAAAGTTAAGGCGTCGAACATCCATAAAAGTTCGAATATACGAGTAAATAAATAGAATTTGAATTAAACCAAACGCAATAAATGCAAGACGAATCAAAATAATATCCACGATTTTATAAGTCCGATCCTCTCCATTTACTTCATCCCGAATTTCATCTGCTACAGTAATAACTGAGGCGATGACCGCTCCGGCGAAAGCGAAAAATAGGACGGTACTGAAGATTATGTAGGGAAGTAGAAGTTTTGGTTTGGTACGGAAGATGGCGAGGATGAAGAGGAGGGTGAACAGAATGAGAATGCAGATGAGGATTGAGGAGATTACTGAAAATATGGTTTTCAGTTCATTTTTGTTGAATAATTTATTTCTAGCGAATCTGATCCCTCATTGTCAGCCCAACACTGCTCGAGTGTCAACGTTTAGGAATCATAACAAAAATCCCACAGATGTTCAATATTTCGAAATTTTCAAGTGTTTGCCACGTGCTTATTCATGCTCAGAATTGAGCTGATAAGAAAATTATTGACTTGTTTTTTAGGGGTATAGAAAAAAGGTTTTCGATTATAATGGGGGTTTTCTTTCAAAATTCAAAAAAGTTATATTTTTTGAAAATTTTAAATCGTCAGCTTCTTGTGCTTCAATAAAATCCGAGATTCTAATAGTCCTCTAAATTCTGAACCTTCTTTTTCTGAAAAGAAAGTTTTAATTCTACCGTGGACTTCAAAAAAATCGAAACCGTTTTTTTTTTCCAAAAACTGTTTTCGTTCCCAAGCCTTCTTTCCCCGATCAGATCCAAATTTTTTTTGGTCATTGATTTTTACAAATATTTATTTTGTTGAGCAAAGATTTTGATAAAAATTGTGAACATGTGATAAAAAATAAATGTCGCCTCACAAAGTATAATTTTTCCATTTTTTTTTTGAAATTTTGAAAATTTTTTCAAGTTCTGATGACACTGAAGTTGAGCTTCTTAAAACTTTAATTCAAATTTTTATTTTGTTTCGGAACTTTTTAATAATTACAGTAAGAAAATCTTATTTTCAGGATTTCAGTTTTTTAGCCTTCCCAGTACATTCTTCAAGTTTCCAAAAAAAAAAACCAACCAATAATTTCGACATAATTCGTGGGTGTTTTCTGAATGAGTCGAATCAACGCGTAAACATACAATGTGAATAATGTGATGGCATTGAATGTGATACCAAATATTGCGACTAAAAATAGAATTTTTTGTTGAACTCTAATTGATTTTCTCCATTGTGATGATCATCGATTTTGATCATCACAATTTCATTTTATTTATTTTTCAGATAATCTGTTCCTTTTTCATAAATAGTCAAATAAAAAATACAAAAAAGTATATAGTTACTCACCTTTATGTACAGTAACCAGGCCACAAATTTTAGTTGGTTCTGGCGGTTGAGGTGGAGATAAATAATTCTGATCAGTTGGAAGTTTGTCGGAAATTGTGGACATTGTAATGAATGTATTGTTGTTATCTGCAGAAAATGCGATTATTTATTTATAATAAAAGTTGGGAAAAAAATGAGAGGAAATTTTTTTGAACATTGCTCCCGATATTTTTTATCAAAAAGTGATTGCTATCCGGAAAATTTTCAAACTTTCGGAATGCGAGACCAATTTTGAAGCTGGCTAAACTTGACAAACTTACACAGTTTGAGCAAAATTTTTCAAAAAAATAAAAATAAAAATTAGCAGCAATCAAATTTTGAACTCTGCTCTATCAACATTTTTATCAAAAATTGGTCGATTAGGTCATTTTTGAACTTGATGTTTTGAGGTGAATCGGAAATGTTTTTTTTTTCTTTTTTTATTATGAAAACGTCACTGGCTCAAAATTTTTGAAATAGAAACTCCGGAATTTAATTAGAATTCTGGATTAGGAAAGTTCGGTATGAAAATAGATTCTATAGATATATTAATCGAAATTTCAGATGGTTTACAATTTTGAAAATCGGGAAAACATTCATTCAACTGTAAGAAAATTTAAAATAGAAAATTGAAAAAATTGATTACACAAAACCATTTCAAAAAGTTTACGGCTCTAAATTTTTCAAAATTATTTTTAAAGTGAAAATACTCACCTTTCTTGCGAGTATCCTTCTTCGCTTTCATTTCCAATTTAAATAAACCTGAAAAAATTTCAAAAATTAAGAAATATATCAAGTTCAATCGGAAATGAATCACAATATTTTGAAAGTTTCAAAGTTCCGCACTCAAATAACACAAAGCTAATAAAAATTCAAGAAAAAAGATAAGCGAGTACAACGAAACAACATTTTTGGAAAATAAAATAAAAATTGAGATCTCAAAATTTTTTTGAGAAAGTGAGGAACAATCTAAATGTCACTCACTCATATTTTTCTAGACGACACAAAAACGAAAAAAAAATAACCTTGAAGTTGAGAGGAGCGAAAAATATTGTTTATTTGATTTTCAATTCTGATTTTTTTGTTGATAACACAAAAAAAATAACATGAGTCATGAACAAAATACTGTTTTGTTTTATTTTTTAGGTAATGAAATGGGTAAAAATAATAAAGTTCAAAAAGTGTTTTATCAATGTTTTTCAATTGGCCTCTAATGTTTACTCAACGGATTTAGAAAAAAAATTGAAAAAAAATAATATGATTTTTTGAACAAAAAAAATTGAAATTGAAATAAAAAGATTGATTCAAGATTTTTTTGAACAAATAAAAATCGTCCGAAAATTCATTGTTTTTGCCATTTTGAGAGCGGGGAAATCCTCGAAAAGTGTCAGACCTGAGAAAAACCGGAACATACATATTTATTAGAAAAGGCGAAAAAAGTGTGTAATATTTATTTTGATAGCTTCATTCAGATAGATTATTGACATTGTTGGGTTCGGTGGATACATTTTTCCGTCATTTTCGGGAAAAAAAAACGATTTTCGCGCGGTGGGAAATTATAAGAAAAACAAAAAGTATAAGTAACTATTACTACAGTAAATAGTTGTTGAAAAAACAGAAGAAGGCGGAGATGATTTTCACTTTTAACTTCATGTATAATGCTTCTGTTTCTGTTGCGACAGAATATTAGAACAAGTAGAGATAATCTGTTAATTGAAAGAGGGAAAGAAGGGGATACTGTAGATTTGTAGTTGTATGATTTTGTGAAAAAGTTATTCGAATTTTTAAAAAAAATCATACAGTTTAATTTTGAACTACAGTAATTTGAACAAATAAAGTTTGAAATTATCAAGGGTTAATTTTAGGTTTCAAGAGTTTATCAGAAATCGGTTCAAAACAAATTTTATTTTCAGTTTTGCAGAAAATATCAGAATTATGTGAAAGAAAGTCTCGGCACAGTTTATTTTTTTTTTTTTTTGAATTTTGAGGTCCACTTTTAAATTTTTTTTTTACTTTATCGCGTGAATTTTGAAATAAACATTCGAAAACCCAGAATTTCCAATTAAAAATGAGTAAAAATCCACAGTAATCCAAAAATCGCGCAAAATCTCAAATAACAGAGGTCATCTCATCTTTGACCTAACTCAAAACAAACAAAATCGAAATGGACTATTTTGAAATAATATTCAAGAATCTTTGTAAATCGACACCATTTTGAATATTTGCGCATGTATTTGTAAATCTTACATTTTTCTTTGGAAAAAATGAGAATTTTTTCAAAAAACATGTTATTCTCACTATTTGACTGCACTTTGAAAACAACCAAAAAGTGCAAACTTTTTGGAAAAATGAGGTTTGAAAAAAACAGGGAAAGTAAGAAAATATGGAGAATTTTTTTGAGAATAAGAAATGAAAATATTTAACCCATAAGTGGATCGTGCGCACTTTTCAAGTGTGAAGTATCGGTTTTGGGTCATTTGTTTATTTATTTTTACACATCACAATACTTTTTCACTGCATCATATCTACAATTAATTCCAGGGCAGCTTGAACATCTCCGCCTGATTGTTCCAACGCCATTTTGCACAAATCTTCATCTTCAAATCCGAAATCTCGTAATTGAGCGAGTTGAGATGTAAAATCTTGAGCTTGAGCCGGAACTGGGGCAGCTTGTACTGGAGCCTGAACTGGAACCTGAGCTGGCACAGCTTGTGCATTTGCATTTGGAGCAATCTGCCCGAAAGCCATTGCCAAAGCTGATTGAAGATCCATTTGAGTAATTCCACCTTGTTGTGGTCTTTGCTGCTGTTGTTGTTGATTATGTCTGCGTGGATTTCGCATTGGAGCAAATTGTCCACTGTATACACTGTCTTTTAGATGATTGAGGATTTTGTCGATGACATAGACAGAATCGGGATGTTGTCTGAGCCAAGCATTTCGACCTTCGTGGGTCTGAAAAAAATTATAATTACTAATTTTTTGATTAAGTTCAAAAAGTTTTGTTTCCGGAAAAAATATAATTTTAAATTTTGTTGAAAAATTCAAACCGATGACTTAAAAAAAATGATCATCCAAAAAAAGCAAAATTAAGTTTCGAAGATAGTGTCAAAGTTCACGCGATAACATTTTAAGTTTCAAAATTCCAAAAACGTGGATCAAAATTTGTCAAAAAATATTTTGTGACACGAAATTCGTTTCAATTTTTAAGCTAACTGTAAAATTTACCCGGTCCATGTGACAATACGAATAGAAAATATGAAAATCAGTCAACGCCGTCAGAGCTTGCGTGTCATGGCGCATTTTTGGATATTTTTCGATGAATTTTTTCACATGGTCACCGGCTGAAGTTTCATTGTGATAGATTTCGAAAACCGCATTTCCGTATTGCTCAACAAAAGTGGCGAGCTTATTGAGAATTGATTCGATTTCTGAGTTTTGCTCGTTGCTTATCTATAAAAAAATATTATTTGAATTTTCAGAACAAAAAAAAATTATTTACCGTTGGAATATCGCTTTCTGGCAATGGAACAATTCTGACCGAATCATTTTCATCTAGTTTTGTCAGTTCTTCAGGATCAATTCTCTTTCCACAATAGGAAAAACCTGTAAAATATTAATGTTCATGTATAAAATAAATTTACTTAATTACTTACCGAACTTTGACGGATCTCCTTGTGTGAACTGGAGGACAATTAAATGTGGATTTTCGAGTTGTGATGCACTAAATTTCTCAGATTGACGTTGATAATAGACCTTTACCATCGTTGATTAAAAAAGCGCCAAAAAGGTGAATAAAAAAATAAAAATGATGATTTTCGAGAAAGCGTGCGGTGTATTGCGAAAAAGTGTGCGGACGCTTGCCAGGTTCAAATCATCACGCCCCGCCCATATTTTTTCCCCAAAATTTTTTTATTGGTCCACGTTAAACGATTTTTCAAAGGTCTTAGTAAAGGTATATTTTCAGAGATGGCAGAAGCACAAACTTCGAAGAAGCCAGCACCAGTAGATGATGGAAATTATGATAAAGAGGTATTTTATTCCGAGTTTTTTGTAAAAATATTTTAAAATTCTGTTTTCAGGTTATCTCAAAGTTTCCAGACTTGGAGCTCGCCCAAGTTAGATTCTTGGTTAATCACCCAGAAGTTGCTAAAGATATCAAAGCACAAAAATTGGAGACTTTGCAAGCTGCCATCAAAGAACATGATATGGCTCCATTTTATGAACTTGTTTGTGCGGATTTGAATGTAGCAGTCGATCAAGCACAATTGGCTAGCATGCGAGCAGCAAATGTCAAAAGATTGGCCGAAATTGACGCTGAAGTTGAAGACGCTGAAAAGAATCTTGGTGAATCTGAAGTTCGTCAAGCGCTTCTCAGAAAATTCGAATATTTCTGTCAAATTGGAGACAAAGAAAATGCGAAAAAGACATTCACCGCTGTCTACGACAAAACTGTTGGAATGGGATATCGTATCGATGTTGTATTCGCTATGATTCGTGTTGGACTCTTCTTCCTCGATCATCATCTCATCAACAAATTCATCACAAAAGCCAGAGAATTGATGGAACAAGGAGGAGATTGGGAGAGGAAAAATCGTCTCCGATCCTATGAAGCTTTGTACAAAATGTCGGTTCGTGATTTCGCTGGAGCCGCCAACCTTTTCCTCGAAGCGGTCCCAACTTTCGGCTCATACGAATTGATGACTTACGAAAATCTCGTTCTGTACACTGTTATCACAACAACATTTGCCTTGGACAGACCAGATCTCCGATCAAAAGTTATTCGCTGCAATGAAGTTCAAGAACAACTCACCGGCGGTGGAGCTAATGGAACACTTATTCCAGTTCGCGAATATTTGGAAGCCTATTATGAATGTCATTATGATAGATTTTTCATTCAATTAGCCGCGTTGGAAAGTGAACGAGTAAGTCTAAACTTCAAAAATAGATCTAAATATAAAAAATAATGTAAATTTTCAGTTCAAATTTGATCGTTATTTGTCTCCACATTTCAATTATTATTCTCGTGGAATGAGACATCGCGCCTACGAACAATTCTTAACACCATATAAAACTGTTCGTATCGATATGATGGCAAAAGATTTCGGAGTTTCACGCGCTTTTATCGATCGCGAATTGCATCGTCTTATCGCAACTGGTCAATTACAATGTAGAATTGACGCTGTAAATGGAGTTATTGAGGTTAATCATCGTGACTCGAAAAATCATTTGTTCAAATCGGTCATCAAGGATGGTGACATTCTTCTGAATCGTATTCAAAAATTGGCCAGAGTCATCAACGCTTAAAATTTTATTCTTTCTTTCTTTCTTTTGTATTGTATCATAATGAGGTTTATGATTTACCGGTTTCAAATTTATTTATTAAATTTTTGTGCATACTTGATTCATGCGTATTTCGTCAATCCTCCCGAAAAATGAATTAATTTATTTACGATTTGTCTTAACTTTTGTGATAATTATTATCGGGTTATTAGAATACCCTGAATTTGATATCTTCATTATTTTTGTCATGGTTTCGTCCATTTTCCAGCCAAATAGAGTCGTTCTCGTTTAACGAGCCGATTATAAGTTTGAGTTCCTGGAGCACAGTAGGTTGTTCGTAAAACGTTTGAAAATAATAATTGGATCAATTTTGGACTCTGTAATTGTGGAATTTTGTTTCTCGACATGTGTTATGCGGGAATAAAAAGAATGTTCGATGTTACGGTTTTCTAATCAGAGTCTCACCTTTTTCAAAATTCTGTCATATTTCACAGTGGTTTCATGCAGCCCACAAATAACATTTCCAGTAATATCATTCAAAATCTCTAATTTCAAACCAGCTCTCGAAGTTGTTCTCTTTAATATTTCAACCTCATTTGGATACCTTAAATCTAACCACAAAAAATAACCGTTCGGACGAAGAACTCGATGAACTTCTTCGAAAAATTTTGCACAATCCATATAAAGATGCGAGGCTTCGACATTTAGCACTAAAATTCAGTTTTTATGAGATTCGCTAGTTTTACTTCCTACCAATGTCAAAAGAGTTGTCTTTAAAAGGAAGGTTTTGAGCATCGCCATATATCACATTTTCCAAATTTTTTGAATTAGATACAATTTTATCACAACCAATTAGTGATTTAGGACCATGGTGTCTAAAAAATGTTTAGTATAGTAATTGAAAAATATTTACCGTTGAATCCATTTGAGTGAATTTGCTTGTCCACAACTGACTTCGAGAATTTCTAAATTTTCAAAGGTTGGATAAGAATCGTGAAGAGATAGTGCCTTTTCGTAGAGGTTTAAATGTGCTTTTTCTGGACCTTAAAATGTATTTTTAAAAATTCCAAGAAAATTTCAATCCTCACCATTTGTCTCATACTCTGGAATTCGTTCCAAAAATTGCTTGATTTTCTGATCATTCTCATCCAAAACATATCCCAAATTCATGAATTTCACGCCCAATTTTGGAGCAATCCATCTCATAAGAGGATACAGAATGAATCGGTCGAATATCCACATCCATATTTGTTGTATAGTCGACAACATTTTTCTTGTAAAATTTTTTGTGAATATTATTTTTTTCCGCTGGTGGAATTTGTGAGAAAATTTGAAATTAGCTCATATTATTTTCAGTAGCAAACAAACAACCAAACAAAATGTCAGGACGTCAAGGAGGAAAGGCCAAGCCACTGAAGGCACCAAAGAAGGGAGACAAGGATTACAGTGAGGTAAATTTTCGAAATGGAAAAAAAATTATATTGAATTTCTAAGACGGTCACGTTTTATTGATAGAAATGGAAGAAACGTGAACATCTTTGTTTTTGAAAATTATTTCTAAAAATCCACGGCATAGGTCACGTGCTTAAAAACGTCAAAAATATTTTTTTCAGGAAGACATCGAATTCAAGAAAAAGCAACAAGAAGAAGCCAAAAAATTGAAAGAAATGGCAGCCAAAGCCGCTGGAAAAGGACCACTTCGTAAGTTTTTATATCTATTCGAAATATTTTGAAATCTTGCTGTGCTGATAAAAATAACTAAACTTCCGATAGGTTATTTTTATCAGAACAAACTAGATTTTTTCTTTTTATTATGAAAGAAAAAATAAACAGTGTTCAATCAAATTAACATCAAGTTTTTTTTTCAGTCGGAGGAGGAATCAAAAAATCTGGAAAGAAGTAAATCGCCAACATTTGAATGATCAATTGTTTTCACCTGTTCTCTGTTTTTTTTCGATTCAAATGAACTTATCAACTCAACTCAACTCGTGAAATATTAGTTTATTTATCACATAATTTTAAAATAGGTTTTAGATCGAGTAAATTGGAACCGATGGAATGTTATGCTCTCATAATGAAGAAAAATACTGTAAATAACATCTCGAAGAAGTTGGAAATAGAAAATTACTTCAAAAAATGTGGGTGGTATTGTATCTGTTTTGCCAGTAAACCACAATTAATGTGACCAGATATAATCCAGCAGCTCCCCAACATTGATAAGCTTTTCTGTTGTATTTGTCTTCAATTTCACTGGAAAAATAGGAAATGCCGAATATCTTCAATGATTTTTCGAAATGATCAAACTTTGTCACGTCGTAACTTATGGACACTCACTCAATCGTTTGCACAAGATACTCTTCACATGTTTCTTTGCGATTTTCACATTTTTCGAATTCAAGATCAGGGAATAATGTGATGGCCTGCAAAAAAATCGGATTTTCACGTGGAAGGTTTTTTTCTGATAAGATAATGCATTTGTTCGCTTTGAGGGTAAAGTAGTTTTGAAATTTTTACAAAAAAAACAATTTCTGTACAAATATTCAGAAAAATTCAAGATCTGACAAAAAATTTAAGGGAAATTCTGAAAGATATGAATTCCAAATTTTGAAAATAAATACAGCTCAAAGAATTCTCATATTTCGACAACTTACTTGATTCCAAAAACTGCACCCAAGAATTCCAAGAAAAATGATTCCCCAAACCGACATAACCATTCTAAAAAGTTAATTTTGGTCTGAAAACCGTAGAAAAATCTCACATGAAAGCCGACATTTTCGGTCCCAAAAATGGGCACAATTTACCCATTTCGAAAAATAATAAAATGAAATTGTTTCTCATTTTTTCCACGTCACGTTTCAAATTCAAGCAAGCAAGCAAAAAAATTCATTTATTTATTCATCACAATATAATTTTTTCAAATTTTGATAATTTTTAACTAGATTTTGCGAAAACAAATAAAACGAGAAATTTTATGATACACGAACTATACATTACTGATGGAATGTTATGCTTTCATAATGAAAAATAAAAAGTTTAAAAAAAGGAAGTGACATCTCGAAGAAATTTGGAGATTTGATAGGTTGTTTGAAAATTATGGATTTTCGAGCAGAATTATGAAAAATTAGAGAATTTGAGTGGTGTTGTATTTGTTTTGCCAGAAAACTCCGATTAATGTGACGAGATACAAACCAGCGGCGATCCAGCATTGATTCGCTTTTTCGTGATATTTGTCTTCGATTTCACTGAAAAATTGAAGATTTTGGATGATTTTCAGGATGAGAATGTGTTGTGATGTGGTAAATATTGAAAAGCTTCAAGTTACTTTCAGAATGTTTAGGCTATTATTTTTTAAAGGAACTTCTAAGCTTCAGAAATTATCATTTTAAATGCTCGATTTTTTACCGAAATTCTATAGCTTTAAAACAAACTATAAATTAAGTCAAGATTTCAGATTTTCAAGAAATTTTTTTATAATAAAAAAATTTTTTGGAAAATGTTATGAGTTATGACGTGGCAAGTTTTGAACATTTCGAGAAACTGTGAAATTACCGGGATTTGAAGAGCAAAAAATGATACTATTATAGAAAATTGGAGAATTACAACTCTCAGAAATAAAAGAATTCTCGCAATATCTTCCACAATAAATTTTGCACTTTGAAACACTCGGTAAAATCTTGATTTTTCGAAATGTGAATTTCCCCGTCATAACTCATGTTCAGAGTTGACATAACTTATGTAGAATTTTTTGAATTCATTCAAAACCACTAGAAACTCTTATTCTTTTCAAAATCAAAAAAAAAACTCACGCTGCTGATGGAATATGTTCATGACTTTCGCTGAAATGAAGATCTGGGAACAATGTGACGGCCTGCAAAAATTCATATTTATTACAATTTATCAGTAGGGAAATCTCTCAAAACTCACTTGGATATAGAAAAACACTCCAAGAATTCCTAGGAAAATAACTCCCCAAACTGACATAACCATGCTGAAAATGAATATTTCTTTCTTCCTTGAAAAACAAGTCGAGGAATAAAACAACTCACCAGAAAGCCGACATTTTTGGACCCAAAAGTGGACACAGCTTACCCATTTTCTCTATCTGAAAGCAAAACAATCAATATATCAATTTGATAGGTTTTATCGACGAAAAATGCACACAAAGATAATTTTTTACGAGACAAATAAAAAAGAAGGCAGAGTAGTGGGCGGAGTCTAGTCTTCGGTCCGCGTACACTCTTTCAAAACACGCTGCTTTATTGATTTTATTATCCGGAAAAACTTGATTATCTCATCGAAAACGTGAAATTTCATAAAATTGACTTCAAAATATCACTAGTTACTTTTCTGGTAAAAAAGAGAAACGAAAAGTTAGCGACAGAGAAAGAGAGGCAAAAGACCAATATTTGGTCGTTGCGTCTTTTTCGCGTCTATTGATCTCTCACCCGTATTTCGTCCATTTTTTGGCTCCTGCTTGTTTTTTTCAATGTTTTGAAAAATTCATTTTTTAATGTTTTTGTTGAGATAGGGAACCTTAAACTAGGTAACTTGAATTCTATTAACTATCCTAGTTCATTTTTAGAAATTACTTGCTAGATTTATCGATTTTTCGCCAAAAAACTCAGAAAACAAAAAAAATGTGAAAGTAAAAATATTCATACCGTATACGTTTTCAAGGCACACACATTTTTCGAAATGGTCCCGTCACGTTCAATTTTTTTCTTTTTTTTCTCGATTTTTTTTTCGCGAAAAATAGTCATTCCAGCAGACCATGGGTATTGTCATTCCATTAGTCTCCGTCTCAGCATTCTGGGCGATTATTGGATTCGGTGGACCATGGCTCGTACCAAAAGGACCAAATAGAGGTGAGTAGTTCACGGGTTTTCAGTAGAAATGTTTGAAAAAACAAATGAATTTTGCAGGAATTGTTCAATTGATGATTGTTATGACTGCCGTTTGTTGTTGGATGTTTTGGATTATGGTCTATCTTCACCAATTGAACCCACTCATCGGACCACAAATCAATGTCAAAACCATCCGCTGGATTTCGCAACAATGGGGAAATTCGAAGGATGTTGTTAGCAACTAAACTCAAAATCGATAAGTCCAAATATTATATTTTCTACTTGTGATACCCGCTTCTAACATCATTTTCACTCGATTTTTCAGTGAAAAATCCCAAATTCTTTTCACATTCCTTTTTTCTAAACATTGTAAATATCTACATAGATTATTGTTTACATGAACAACATTTATTGATTGATTTATAGTTTAAAGTTAAAATATGAATTAATTTAACGGAACGACAAATCAACTTGACAAGATTTGTGACATCGCGAGAATTGTGGAGCCGAATATTGACGGAAAGATTCGCAGCCATAATATTTGAGCTCATCCGGGCATCCGGAAAGTGTTGAAGCCGCTTCGAAACAATTCATACCGGTTTGAACATAATCGCATCCACGAGCCGGATCTTCGTAGGCATTCAAGACGAAATCATTTATACAACCGAACATTGTACCATTTTTCTTAGCGTAGATGTTTTGGAGACATTTCCAGTTATCCGAAGCAACTGAAAATTATGAAAAAAAAGTAATGATTTCAAAAATATTCAGAAAAATTATAGAAAAATCTCGATCATAATCTTAATTTTCCAATTTTCAAAAAAAGTTTTCCAAAAAAAAGTTCTCCTACTGTAGAATCCAGCTCCACATTGATATTGCAACATATTCATCAAAAATCCATAAGAATATGCGCGATTTGGAGCTTCCGAATGAGATAAAAGCCATGGAATATTGAAGCATTCCGAAGCTGTGGTTTGTGATGTTGTCAAACATTGAATCATTTGATTGTAAGCGCTGAGTTCAAAATTTGATTTCAGAATAATTCAGAAAACTCACTTGCAAACCGAATTCAAACCGCGAATTCCACCGAGTCCACCATTGATATAAATATCTTGAATTTGAATGGTCAACCCGAGTGGGTTCAGCCTAAATTGAATTTTTCTCAAGGAAATTTCCAGATTTCACTCACCAATTGTAGTTTCTATCGATTCCCAAAGCATCGCTGAACTTAGCCTGACATCCGACAAATTGTGGAACGTGACAAACTCCGGAAACTTGCGCCACAAGAATTAACGCCAGCAAAAACTTAATCATTATTTTATTTTTTTGAAAAAATAAGAATAATAATAAGTGGAAAAGGGAGAAGCCTATTTCTCCTGATAAAAAATAATTGACAACAAATAATCCGATTTATTCATTCATAGAAAAATGTCAAATAATTATCAGAGTTTCTTATTGGTTGAGTGGAACACATCTGAGTCCCCAGCAAGAATTATCGAAAGTGATGCGGAAATTTTCGCAGCCAAAATAACCGGCGCCAACTCCACAAGCAGCATTGTAGGCGTTGTTCATGCATTGACCAGCAGCATCGACGGCTCTAAAAAATTTACAAAATATATTTTCAAAAGCTTCTTAGGCCATCCAAAATGCTTACGGGCAGAAATTGTTGGCAGTGATGGTGTTGTTGAAAGTTGTGATGCAGTTTTGATAAGCAGATGTAGTTGGGAAGGTTCCCAAACAATCCCATTGTCCAGCAACTTCTTGGAATCCACCGACGCATTGCCATTCGAGACCACGGAAAGTTCTGACGAAATCGAAGGCTGAAAAACAGTGTTGATATTTTTAGATACCCAAATGCTGGTTTTTGAAATTCTACAGTACCAATGTCCACGTTGTTTATCTACAGTATAACAATTTGATAGACCTGATTTTTAAAATAGAAATGAAACATTTTTAATTAATCTCTCAAAATCAAAATTAATTTCTGGTACGCTTACGTGAAAAATCCAATGTATAAAAGTGAACCATTTTTAATTTTTCTTCGTTTACAAAATTTCGAGTGAAGTGAGTTTCATTATAAAAAAAATTGACCTGATTACTGTAGATCAGTTTCTGTAAATGAATCCCGGATACTGTGAACAATTTCAGTTCTACAGAGTTCTAGAAAATTTTAAAAATAGCGTAGGATTTTTCCTTTTTTTCTGAAACCCATTGACAAAAAATCGAAAAAGCAAAAAAAAATTCAAATTTCAGAAATTTACCGTACTTTGTTGGAAATCAGCATTTGGCTTATTGAGAAGATTGTACAAGTTCAAGCATGACGAATAAGATGTTCCCAAACATTGATAATATTGAGTGCGGGTGCTGAAAATTTCGAAATTTCAATCCAAACAGAATCAACAAAAATCGCACTTACTTGCAAACTTTGACAACTTCAGTAACATTGGTTTGCAAAAATTGTTGAACTGTTTTGAAGATAAGAGTACCGTTTCGCCACGTGGCATCTTCTGGAAGACCGAAGAATTGATTGAAGGTGTGTTGACAATAATTGAATTGGATGTCTAAACATTGTGAGACGGCGAGATTTGTTGGTCTCTCGCGGAAACCAGCCAATTGAATGACTTCATCGGAGAGAGTATATTCTGGGAGTTGGACTGCAGAAGCGGAAGCGGCGAGGAGAAGAAGAACGGCTAGATTTGATCTTGTCATGGCTGGAAAAATCGGAAAGTTGTGAGTTTCTTGGGCCTCGAAAAATGGGATCTAGACATAGAAGAATGCTTGAAATCCAAAAAAAAATTTCAAAATTCTATAGAAATACTAATTTCCAGAGACAAAGTTCTAAGTTTTGTTGTCATGTTTTATATTAGGAAAATCATGACAAATGAACTATTGATAACAAATTGAGCTACAAAAACCCGGATATAAAAAACCGAAAAATTAATCCTCATCACTTCACGCAATCATTGAAAAACATACAAAAAGGGGAAAATGTGTGGCATGGAAATTATTATCATAAAGAAAAAGTTATCAAATTACGTGGCCTCGTATCTTTTTTCTATGTAAATGTAAAATTTTTCATGTGCCATAAAAAAGTTATGGACTTTTATGTTTTTTTCTGAACTTTTTTTTCAAACTAACATTTTAATATTTCATAAAAAAATCAACAACAAAGAAAAACAAGAAAATACCTAACCTATAGAAGAAAAGAGAATAAAAATGAATAACGGGATCGGAAATTGGAAAGTGTTTGGGATTTTTCGGAATAGGAGATGAATCGATTTTTGGCGCGGCAATCGTGAGCTTTGAATTCAGATTTAGATTCATTGATGGAATTTTCTTCGTCGGGATGTTTGAAGGAAACTTTCATGGAATTTCGGATTTTCTCAATTTTTTCTGGGGAATCTTTTTGATATAAATTTCTTCAAATCATCAATTTTTCGTTGAATCGATTCTTTTACAAAACCATGGGCATTTTGTAACTGGGATTCATAACAAAGCATAGATTTGATATAAATGCATAATTCAAAATCCCGATTTTTATTTTTGAGACCAAGGAAAAGCAACCAGTTTTCAGGAAGATCAGAAAGCGAGCAAAGTAATGAAACCTGAAAAAAAGCTCTGAACTAATTTTTTGAACTGATGAAAAATGTTATTTTTCTATATCTCTCGATATAGGTTGAAAGAAACTATTCCGGAAAAATACTCACAGTATCAATAATCTCTGAATTATCTTCAAATCTCGCCAAAACTTCAGATTTTGTTCGAAGAAATTGAATTTGATCGCCAAAATCAACAAGAATATTCTCGAAAGCCTTGAGAAGTTCAGAAACTTTGACTTCATCGAAATATTCAGGCTCGATTTTTATATAACATTGAAGCATTGAGTCGAGAAGCATAATTTCATGAAACCGGTTGTTTTTCGAAGAACTGTGGATTCTCTTAAAAATCTTCAAAGCATCGTGAACTTTGCCATCATCAAAAAATGAAACTGCGCGATAAAAATCAGATTCCGCGTCCGATTCTTTTAAAAACCAATTTGAATTTTGAATACAAGGAGTAAAAAGGGGATATTGCTTAGAAGTTGAAATAGAAGATTCTTCGCATTCGAAATCTTCAAAATTATCGAAAAGTTCCATTTTTAATTTTTCTTTTGTTGAGCTTCAACGTGAGCTTGTTGCTTGCGAACGTTGTGGAAATTCTTTTGCATACACTCTTTGAATGATTGAAGTTCGGTTTGACACTTTCTCCAATCACCGTTATCTCCCATACAATCAACAACACTTATATGATTATCCCAGCAGCCGGAACTTCTATGAAAAAACATATTTATAAATAATTGATGTTGGAAAAACTAACCTAATCAATTTTTCAACGCGATCTTCTTCGTCTGCCGTTTTTGCCCAACCGTTGTGAGGATTTGATGGTGTAGACATTAACCTGCAAGTAGTTATTACTTGTTTTTAAAAAGAAAACAACAAAAGTAGTTTATATTTCACACGAAACAAGTTTTTTCTAAAAAAGTCAAACAAAAAAAACGAAAAACACACCCGTTCAAACAATGAAAAATTAGAAATTTCGTTTATTCACACTGCGCCACAATTTTCAAAGGACTTTGATAACCAAATAGAAAAAGTAAATATACCATTAGAATCAGCGCATCGAGATCTATGTGAGACTACGCATTTCGAAATTTTTAGGGTCCTGCGAAGATAGTTAGCAATCGCGACAAGACCCAACGCATAAAATTTATCTTGCTCCTTTAATACTGTAGTGCGAAATATAACGGCGACCAGAGAGAATTAGACAAAAGTGTTTGTACAGTTTTTGTTTTGTTTTACAGTAGAAAACACTCATTGCGTGGCTTGAACGGGTGTGAAAAATGAAAAAAAAATTGGGGCGGTTCCGTGTACTTCTCGAGAAGTCCGAGAGAAATACACAACATTTTATTTTCATTTTTTTCGTTTTTCACTTTTTTCTTGCTCGTAACTTTTGTTGATAAAGAAAACCGATGTTGCGATAAATATTGATTTTCAGGTGTTTAGGCCAGTGTAGAGTGAAAACTGGAGAAGAAGCAAGACATATCGCGCGGTCGAAAACCGGAGCGAAATCATTTGGATTTTATTGCAGGATGGGGTGCCGGCTGTATTGAAACATGTATATTATATCCATCTAATAAGGTCATATTTCGACAACAACTTCATGGTTTTTCTATTAAAGAAGCGTTGAAGCAGGTAGGAATTTTCTTATATTTTGAACAAGATTTAATAATATTAAAACCTTTCTTCAGATCAAGTTAGAAGGAGCAGGTAGATTATATAGAGGGTTGATGCCTCCTTTAATAATGAGGACAACCTCCAGAGCTTTGATGTACGGATTATATGATGAATTTCAGGTGAGGATTTCTTTTTTTTTATTGAAAAGTTAGCAAATTAATTTCTAAAAAATTTGCAGATATCATTAGGATGCCCACATGCTCCGCCAAATTCATCTTTCACATCATGTCATGCGAAAGCTGCATTTTTATGTAAGATTTTATTAATTTATCACTAATTAATCCTAATTTTCAGCCGGTGTTTGCGAGGCAATGCTATGCCCGCTTGAACGTGTTCAAGTCCTTTTACAAACCTCACAATTCCACGATCGCTATAAAAATACATTAGAAGTTTTCAAAAGATTGCGTAAATATGGAATTTCGGAATATTATCGGGGATTTTCAGTGATTTTTGTTAGAAATAGTTTATCGAATACCATATTTTTCACACTCAGGGAACCGCTCAAACAGAAGGTTCGTTTTTTTTCGATTTTTTTAATATTTATATAAAGTTTTCAGGTGCTAGAAATTCCGGAGAGTCATCGTTTGCCTCCGAGTGTTCAACAACTTTTGGGTGATTTTATTGCTGGTTCTTTGTTGGGCGCCTCAATTTCTACTTTATTTTTCCCAATGGGTGTTGTCAAAAATCATATGCAGGCGAAGGTGAGATTTTCTCAGAGATTCGCTGGCCAGCTCGCCACCAGATCGCTGCGGCCACCTGGAAACCGCATGGCCGCCAGGTCGCCTCGAGTTTTCCGGCGACGTGGCCTGTGTGTTTGAAAATCTGAAAGGCTGGCAAGACGGTGGTTTGTACTCAAAACACTGCATTTTCTACTGTTTTTTTTCACTACCTAAGGTTTCTAGTGCTGCGAAAAAACAGAAAATGAGCCAAATTTTTCGAAAATGCCTCAATTCACAAGTTTTTCAGACATTTTCATGAAAATTCATTTTGACGAGGCGAAGTGGCCACCACGTGGTAGCCATGTGGGCTTGACCTAGCCAGAGCCTGGCCACCTTGCCAGCGAAAAAACCGGGCGACATGGTTTCCATGTGGTTCCCAGGTCAGCCAGCCTCCCCACCTGGTGGCGAGCTGGCCAGCGAATCTCTGAGTTTGGTTGAAATATTTTTATAAAAACTCGAACATTTTTTCCAGGTCGGTGTTCCATTCGACAACGCATTCCGCGTCTTCGGCCAAGTTTGGCGCGAACGAAATCGCTCGCTTCGAAGTATCTACCTTGGTGTTCACCTCAATTTCACTCGATCACTCATCGCCTGGGGCATCATAAATTCCATGTACGGAATTTTGCGCCGTGCGTTAGCCCCCTTTGAATAATTCACTTTTTCTACTAGTTCCTCGTCGATTTTTCCCAAAGTGCCAAGTATAGGCATCAAATTTATTATATTTCTATTCTAAATATTTACGTGTCTGTAAACTTTTGTAAATATTTTTTTTCATTTCTATGAATGAAATCAAATCAAAAATTTTATTATTTTTTCACTCCACATATTCTGCATCGCCTTCAATATAAACATGTTCTTCTTGCGGCTGCCCATCATTTTTATCCCAAATTTCTTGCGTCACAACAACTTCAGTTTCGGGATTTTTGGGAACATCATAGGCTTGTGGTTGATAGATCGATTGAACCTTTTCTTCGATTTCACGCCATTTCATTTCTCGCAAATCGCGAGCTTCTGCTGTTTCGGTTTCATGTTCGTGTCCCAAATGACCAAAACAGGCGACGATTTCGAATTTTCCACTATTTCTCTCGCAACACTGAATAACACAATCTGAGAATTTCTGAATACAGAAAAAACCTACTCTAATAAATGATGGACATTGTTCACATCTTCTTCCTTTCGGCTGTCCTCTCGAATTCGAATAAAGACATTTGAAAAGCATAGTTTTATTAGCAAATGATACTTTTTGAGTTGTTCGAAGAAAAAATTCAGAATTTGTTTGTTTCTCCATCATTCGCTTCCATTTCTATAAAAAATTATCAGATTTGAATATTTTTCGAAAAGAAAAAAATAATACTCACCAGAAAACTCATTTTGTTATCAAACATCATTCGACGAATTCGGAAAGCATCTGAAACTGTCACCAGATTTCGATGAAATGAATCTACATGAATTGCCAAGTCCATGTATGTTGAGAAGCTGGAAATTGTTCGATATTTTTGAAAAAAAGGCTCATTTCAAGACTTACTTTAGTTCACATCCATAACTTGGACAAACAATATTATCACTTGTGAAATGCTTTTCGTCTTCAGTTGGTGCAATATCATGAATTTTCATTTTATGACTCCGAAGTCCATTACTTGTCACAAATTGTTGACCACATTCGCATTCCAATAAATCCAATTTATCAACAGCTTTTCGTTTTCGACAAGTTTCGAGGCGTTTTTGGGCTTTCATAATTTCCAATTGTTGTTTTGAATAACCATGATAATCGAAAAGGTGGTTGTAAAATCGACGATTTGTTAGATCTTCACCGCAGTGATGACAAATCGAGCTGTAAGGTAAGAAAATCTTGAACAATTTACCGAATTCTCTTAAAATTAAACTCACTGGTCTTTGTTAACTGCTTCTAGATTAACTTGGGTGTAGAAAAATGGGTCCATAACATCGCATTTTACATTTTGCGCTGTTGAGACAGCTGAAGATGATGGAATTTGCTCTTCTTCAACTACTTCCACAACCTCGACAATCTCTTCGAAACTCTCTTCACAAACCGCCGCAATCTTTACATTCTCGTGACCAGACATTTTACGTTTTCTCTCGAAGAAAAAAAAACAAAAATGAAGCGAAAATAAAAGTAAAACAACGAGACTCCGCTGTTGCCTGTTGTTTATCAGTGCGTCGTTTTTTTCATTTCAACTTTTTTTCGCGTTTTCGGTCAGAAATGACTGAGATTGATGAGTCTGTATTGTTGGGAGAGAATGACGATCATCAGGATGTGAATCTTATTGATGAAGATTCGCTACTCGATGATGATAGGTCAGTGGTTTCTTGTTGTTTTTTTAATATCAAATGTTCAAAAAACATGTTTTTTCAGTAGCTTTCCCGTAGTCAAAGATGAAGTTGAAGATTTGTATGATGATGCTATTGCTCCATCGAATATTTCAATGGAAAAGGTTCCAGAGTCTCCAGTTGTCAGCAAACCGGTGACTAACACAAATACGAATACAGTTTATCAAGCACATCCAGATGGCAAAAAGTGAGTTTTTCTTTTGAAATTCAAAAAAGTAACCACAGAAATGAGATTGTACAATAAAAATCGGTATTTTGTAGATTTTGCGTGTACGTCGGTAATTTACAATGGTACGCCACTGACGCTGACCTAACGATCGCCATTTCTCAAACTGGAATTCCATACGATCAACTTGTTGATATGAAGTTTTTCGAGAATCGAAGTAACGGTCAAAGTAAAGGTTATGCTCTTGTTGTATTCAATTCCGAAGCCGCAGTTAGACAACTAATGGAAACTTTGCCTACAAAATATATTCATGGTCAACAACCATCAGTTGTATCTTATAACAAGGCAAATCAAGCAAAACTTGAAGAAGTGACAGCAAAGCGAGGCGAGCCAAAAAAGAAGGTACTTTTTTTTTATTTTTCGAAATTCTTCGCTTTTTTTGGTACAATTTCATTTTGTTCAAAAATCTCTCTTCTCTCTCTCTTTTCATTCGATCGATAATGTAAACACACTGAAGAGTGGGAGAGACAGATGACTAGACGGCGCAGGCGGTTAGCGCACAAATTCTCCAATCTGAAGACCCTAGATCGATTCCCTCATGCATCTTAAACTCAGCTGTATTTTGAACTTTGAGATTTATAGCTGGTAGCTGGTGCGAAACTGAATGGAGACTTACCGGCGTTAGTTCGAATACGGGCTGGCGTTAAAAGTAACCCATACATTTTTCTTTGAAAATTTTTTAAACGATTGAAAAATGAATTACAGCTTGAACTATACAAACATATGATTTTTTTGCAGACCGATGATGGTAGAGTTGATATGGGAACAATTCGAATTGGTCAAGGAGGATCAGCAGGTTCAACATCTACAACCTCAACAACAAAATCAAGACCACAACCATTAATGAGTGATTTTAATATTATTCGATCTCAACCAATGCATGTTCCACAACCGCCTGTTCAAATGAGACTTCAAATTAATGGCCAACCTGTTCAAGCACCAAATATGATGCCACAAGTTCCCCCACAAAATTTGATGATGGGCGGAATGCCCCCACAACAACAACAAAATATGTTAGGAAGAACTAATTTGATGGGTGCTGCTCCGATGTCAATGATGGGTGTGCCATATCAATCGAGACCTCCACCAATGTCTTCGATGGGTCAACCACAACCTCTTATGCAAATGAATCCAGCTATTCGCCCGCCGATTAATGGAATTCCACCAGTTCATGTGAATCCGCAAATGTTCCCAGGGATGCAAGGTCCGCCATTGGGCGAGATTGAATATGAAGATGTTGTGAATCGTAATCGATCAGTTTCGAGTTCCGCTATAACCAGAGCAATGTCTGATGCTTCAATGGGAGATATTAATGGAGCAACAGATGTTTTGCAAACTGCGATTGCGCTTATTAAACAGAGCAGAGTTGGACATGATGAAAGATGTCGTCAACTTGTTTATGCATTGGAGGAAACTTTGAAAAGTGTGGAAGCAAAAGGATATTCTTCTTCATCTCGTTCAAGATCACATAGAGATTATCGAGATCGATCGAGAAGTCGAGATAGAAAAAGAAGAAGACGAAGTCGTTCACGGTATGTGATATAGGGAAGCTTAAAACTAAACTATTATTTTCAAATCTGAAAAAATTAGTAAATTCCTAAGTTTCCAGCTCATATTCTCGTTCTCCATCACCAAGAAGAAGTCGACGATATTAAACTCATTTTTATTATTCAAAATGGTGAGTTCTTTTTGTGCTATCAAAAATTGATAATATAAAAAGAATATTTTCAGATTCTCATGCTTCTGTAAAAATTTGAAAATTGTGAGTTTGGATTTTTTGGGAAGGTTTTCAGAGATTTTTTTTGTTGTTTTTCGAAAATAAGTTGTAGATATTTTTTGGAAATTTTTCGGAAACATTGTTAAATTTTTAATATGTGAACTTTATTTCTAGTACCAGTTTCATATTTAAAAAAAAACCTGTTTTCTTGGGATTTTTGTGATGTTTGGATAACTTTACATAATTTTTATACGGTTTGTATTCATTGGTTTTTTCTAGGCAATTTTTAAATTTTTTCTGAAAGGTTTACATATTTTATTTCTTTTTTTGGACTATGGTCTTTTTTTTACGAGTTAGTTTAGAAGATTTTCCTTCAGCTCAAGTTTAATTATATTAAATAATTTTTATCAGATTTTTTGTTCAATTTTGAACTGATCATGATTTTTTTGAATTTTTTTTACTTATAATTGTAAAATGCACGGGTTTTGATGTCTCACTTAAATTTTGACACATTTTTTCCTTTCTAAAATGTTTTATATTTTTTATGATTTCAACTTTTCAATATTTTTTTTTGGGATTTTTGAACTGTTTCTGTTCTCTTCTGTTTAAAATCCTTGATTTTCACAATTTTATTCAACTTTCAAAAGTCATATGTATCATTTTGAAATGTAAAAACATGTTTTCTTTCGTTTTCTACTGAGTTGTAATCTTTTTTTTTTTGTACAGGTCGATGTTGTTGTTCTTCTCTTCTCAATCTTCTACTTCATCCCTTCCCAAATTGTTTTATTTTTGTACCAAAATGAGTGCTTTTTTTTCGAGTTTTTCAAGATGATCCTCAATAAATTATATAATTTTAAAATTTTTTTGTTGTAAATTTTTATTAATTCGCTTATCATCGAATTCACTATTTTATGTACTTTTATATTTGGTTCAATTGTAATTTTGGCTTTTTTAAGCGTGATTTTCAGAGAAAAATTGACAATTTTTCAGATGGCAGAAGAACATGAGAAAGGAAATATTGTTCGATGGCTGGTTTGTGGAGCCACAGCTGGTTTGGCAGTTGATATTGGGCTATATCCATTGGACACAATTAAATCAAGAATGCAATCGAAACAGGGATTTATTGCGGCTGGAGGATTTAAGGATGTTTATAGAGGAATGAGCTCTGTTGTTCTTGGATCGGCTCCGGGAGCTGCGATTTTTTTCTTTTCGTATAAATTTATCAGTTCGAATTTGAAGAAGAGTTAGTTTTTTGTTGAATTTTTTTCAAGAAAAACGGGAAAGGATTTGAAATTGACCACTGAAACATCGAAAATTTAATATTAGTTTTATAAACTCACTTTTCCAGATTATTCTCAAAACGATCCACTCATCGAAGCGATTTCAGCAAGTTTAGCTGAAATTGCCGCTTGTGCCGTCCGTGTTCCCACCGAACTTTGCAAACAACGTGGCCAAGTTATGGAAAATGCGAAATTGTCAGTGATTTGCCGCGAAATTTGGGAGGCCAAAGGATTTCGAGGATTCTATCAAGGATATATGAGTACGGTTGCTCGAGAAATTCCATTTTCGATTATACAATTTCCGATTTGGGAGGGATTGAAGAGGTTTATTGCGAAGAATAAGGTTTGTGTTTTGGGGGAAAATGCATACTGAAAATAATATGTTTCGATAAAAATTGTCAGGTTTTTTGATTTTCAGTCAGCACATTTTTCAAACTTTTAGACTGAAATTCCAAAAATTGGTGATAGTTTTTAATTTTTTCTGTTTCTTTAAAATTTTTTGAGTCGATTTTCGTTTCGAAAAATTTTGAATTTTAAGTGAGCTGTTCCCAGTAAATTATACGTTTTAGAATTATTTTGTTTGCACTCTGTTAATTTGTTTCTTCAATGTTTGTGTCAGTTCGAGAAAAAAACTATAAAATTAGGCAAGAATATAGGTTTTTTTGTTTTCATAAATTGAAAATTCGTTAGAAATAACAAAAAACCCTATGAGTGAAAAAGAGACTCAGAAAATGAAGTTTCTCAAAAAAATTCCTTTTTTTTATTTTTCATTTTTATTATTTTGGATTTTATTTTTCAGTATTTTTCAATCTGATTATTACCTAAAAGTTCTCTGCTGTTACTGTTTTTTGACTTTGTTTTGTTAATTTTACACAAACATCAAAAATGAGCGTTGATTTTTAGATTCTTTCTCATCTTCAATCCCTATTATTTCTAGAAAAATGGAAAATGCAGTCCACTTGAAGGTGCAGCTTGTGGAAGTTTTGCTGGTTGCATCGCCGCCGGTCTCACAACTCCATTAGACGTTGCAAAAACTCGAATTATGCTAACTAAAACCAGCCCGCCACCCACAATTATTGCAACAATTAGAGATGTTTATTCAAGTGGAGGAATCGCTGGCCTTTATTCTGGAATCGTGCCACGTGTCTTATGGATTTCCGGAGGCGGATTCATATTCTTTGGCGCCTATGAATTGGCCATGCATTTCACTAATTTTTGATTTTTTTTAGATTCCTAATTTCATAATAATTTAGTCATGTTTATTTAGAATTCTGCTTGCGAAAAAAAGCGGAGAAAAAATTAATTTCGGAGGTCAGACAAGAAAAAAACCGAAAATCATCTAGTTTTTTTCCGTGAGAATTTTCATTGTTATTTAGATTTAGATTCAAAATTTTGTTCGAAAACCTTTCATCTGTTTATAATTTTACGGGCCTTTAGGATTTTTTCTCGTCAATAAAGTTATTGTTTTTTCGTTGTTTATTACACTGGTTTCTTTTTTTTTTGTTTGTTCGATTTGACATTGACGAGATTCAGATTTGAAATTGGATTTCGCCTCATCCACTCAAAAAGTTTTTGATTTCAATTTCGAAATTCTCATTTTTTTATCAATAAAAAAATTGTTAATTTTTAATCAAAATAAAAATAGTGACTAATCGGGGGACACAGAGAAATTGTAAATTTATTCACCTTTTTGTGCGTCGTCCACTTGAATTTCAAATGTTTTCCGGTTTTCAGTTTGCTCTTCTCTTTTTTTCGCTTTGCCATATGACATTTTTATTATGATTCCGATTCCGAAAATGGCCAGAAGGTAGGTCAAATTCCGGGTTAGCTTATCCCGAAAATTAGACTTTTTGAGTTAAGTTTCACAAAATTCAGGCCATTTTTCTCCGCGGCTCGAAGAGAATCTGCTGGCGCAGTTCCTGCTTATAAATCATTTCTTCATCGAACAAGATTTCTTTTGCTATTTTTGATATTCGTTTTCAATTTTTGCATTTGGACCAACTCGATTTTGATAGATTTTATGATTTTGGCCATGGAAGTTCGAGAAAATCTCGAAGTTGCGAATCTCAATTATTCAGAGATTTATAGAATTCAAGATGAGATTCGGAATGATTTGCGATCGAAATATTTTACATTCTCGCAACTTCAAAAATCCGTTTTATTTTCGGCCTCGTCGTTGGGAGCGGTTTTAGCAATATATCCAGCATGGTGCTTGATTACGGTAAATTTTCAAATCCACGTGACCTAAAAATTGAACAAAGTTCTACTCACCAGACATAGTTTTTGTTCAGAAATTTGGCTACCGTCGAATCGCCACATTTTCTGGAATCCTATCCTCCTTCTTCATTTCATTTGTCCCATGGTTCGCATATTTTGGATATATCTCCTTAACTGTCTCACACTTCATTCAAGTAACCAACATTTGTATTTTCAATTTTTTGATATCCTAATTTTCTAGGGAAGTTGTCTTGCTGCTCCAATTTTATTGATTCCAAGTGTAATTCGAAAATGGTCAACGAGGAAAAACGAGCACTTAACGTTTATAGTTTTATTCTGCTTTATTCAGGTTCCGCCTATTCTATTATTCCCAATTTATTCCTATCTATCACTTACTTTTATTGGATGGCCAATCGCTTTTTATCTTCAATCAATCTTCACTTTTCTAGTCACAACTTTGTTTTTCTACTTTTACAAGTGAGTTTCAAGCTGATTCTTGCTCTCGAAATTATTCATTTAGAGAAACTCCGATTCGTCACGCTCATGTTTCCGACGCTGAACTGTCCAAAATTCAAAGATGTCAATCGATGCGCGGAAAATTGTCGTATGAGGTAGTGTATTCTGAATTTTGAGCTACATTTTTATTAATTTCAGAAAATTCTGAGATGTTCTCAATTTCAATCAGTCACGTTATCAATTTTTGTATATTTTTTGATACTTCAAATATTCATCCAGAAGTTTTCGATTTTTGTACAAACTTCAAATATTGTTGAGATTTCTTGGATGCTGTGTATATTTATGTTACTTCATGTAATCGCAAAACTTCTAATTTTTCGAGTTATGAAAACTCCTACCAAACATGAGATCGAACTTTTGACAATTATTTCATTTGTTGTCACTGGTGTCGCTATGATTTCAATTGTATCTTTCAAACTGTCAGATTGGTTGAAGCTCGCAATCTTCTCACTGATTTCGGTCTCACTTGGTATAACTCCGATTTTCAGGGCGGCCCATATAATTGCAGGGTAAGCCTTTTTCTCGATTTTTTAGACACGGATTTTTTCAGTAAATATTATCTAGCAGTGATGATTCGAACTCACATTTTCACATTTTTCCTCGCTGGTTGCTTCACGCCAATAACCTTAGCCTTGGGAAGGTTGGTTGTTAAGAAAAAAAAAATAGATTTAACATATTCCCTCTTCCAGGTTTATCTGGTTTTTGTTGACTGCTTTGCTAGCTGCTTCCCATTTATTTTTTGTAATTCAATTTCGATATGAAGCATCAGATTGGGAGGTTCGGAATGAGGCAAAGATTGAAGAGAGAATTGCACCGGTTTCTCATCCAAGACCGTGTGAATTCACAACATCTTTTGATGATTCGGTAAGTTGGTACCTTTCGAAAGAGTGAAACCCAATATATTACAAATCCTCATTGACAAAATATCTACAGATCGTGGTTTCGATAGTTTCTCGAGGTCTCGACAGATGTGACACTTGTAAAAAACACGGTTTTCAATCTAAACATCATCAAAGCCAAATCCCAACTCGCAAAATTTTCGACACAATAATCGAAGAAGAAAATACGACTCATATGTGAAACAACTCATTTAAAAATAGGTTACAGATCCAAAACAAATAGATAGATAATAATATCTTTTCAAAGTGATGTACTTGAATCTTACTACTTGACACTGTGTTATTTACACGACCAACATTTTTTCTCGTGATGTGATGTCTAACAATGTTTTCTTCTATAAATATTTTTATGAAAAATGAAAAAAAACGCCCACAGTCTACTAATTTGTTCGTTTTTTGATCACTACACTACGCATGTTTGAAAAAATTTCTGGTCAGCCAGTCAGCAACCAAAATCTAGATAGATAGATAGATAGTTGAAATGTTCAATTAGCCCTCATATTGTTTGACATTTTCCAATTCTTCCTCCTCTTCTTCTTCTTTTCTTTTTTCTCTGAATTAATTATTTTATTCAAATTTTTATGAATGAATAGCAATGAATTTTCATTGGGCCGTTCTGTTTGTTCTTTTTTCTGTGAATTTCAAAATTCATTTCATTTCGTTTGAATCCAGCGGTTCTGTTTCTTTGAACGTTTTTTCTTCTTTCTGTGTTTATTTTTGTGTTGAGAATGACGGAGGTGTCAAAACAATAGATTGTACATATTTTTGCGGGGATCATATTTGCATACATGTTTAAGACTTCAAAAGATGCGCTTTTCTTTTGTCGTGTACTTTTTCTGTACGTTTTCGTTTTAAAAATATTATATGTTAGTCAATTTTTTTCAAATATTGACCAGTTTCAGATTTTTGAGCGTATTAGCTCAGCTTGAATGAAGCTTAGCACCCACAAACCTTTGAACTTTGAATCCCTATAAATTGCACTATTTCATCATCATATCAATTTCACCCCAATCAAATACTCCCAAAAATATTTTCTGTTTTCGAGCAACAAAAAATAAATAATGCTTGCATACATGAAATGTCTCCAAGTAATTCGATACGTTTTTTTATTCGGGAATTGGTTTCCGTTTCGAAAACATGTTGGATTCTTTGTTTGTTTTAGTTCAGAAAATTTTGGTGACGAAGAGAGAGAAGAATTTTTGCAATATTTTGTCGAACTGTTCAAACAATAATCTATTTTGACATTTTTCACGCCTCTCAATTTATTTAATCATTTTATCCCGATTTTATTATCTTTTCATTTATTCGTTCGATTATCGCTCTCCTTTTTCAAATAGTCTTCTCACACTTTTTATAACATTGTGATTTAGTGAAAATTTGAATTTCGTTTAGGATTCAAATCGAAATAAAAAAAAACATTTGTCCATTGTGTATTTCAAACATTTCAAATCCAATAAATCACTTTTTTTCGCGCCGAACCACAAAAAACAACAAACCTGACCACTACTAGTCTAGCTGGCTGTGCTGTCACAAATAATATGTATTCATTCATGTATATAATTTGGTTATCCCTGAAACTAATAAAGAATTTGAATCCGAATTCGTTTGAGAGTAGGCGGAGCGGGATTTGTTCAATTTGATCGTGGCAAAAAATCCAGTAGTTCTTTTATCATCCGATTACATGACAGCTGTTTGAAAAGATTCATTCATTTTTTGCTGCATTCGATTTTTTCTTCCAAGTTTTTGTGGTTTGATAGAAACATTCTTGTTCCTTGGATAAAATTCTCTGATCATGAGGTTTTTTTGACAAATCCCACGCTCCGATCTTCTGTAACTTTTTTTAACTTGCTAAAACTGGCCTGAACATCAAAAAGGACATCGGTTTTTCGGCTCACTTTTGAGAAATGTAGATGACTACTGTAGTTGGCTGTGTTTATTAAATGGCCCGGCAACGGAGATTATGAGTACTTTTAAAAATGTTCAAATGTTGATGAATGAAACTCAAAATGCATTTACTTCACAAAAAATTGAAGTTGAACATAAATTTCAGAAAAATAAAAAAACTGAAAAAAATAAAAGATATATGTGGCCGAACTATTTTGGTGGCCGAGAAGTGTCGGGAATTCGGCCAGAGCAACAAACTCGCTCTAATCTTGCATTGTTGGAGCGCGTTTGTTGCTTTGGCCGAGTTCCCGACACTTCTCGGCCACCAAAATAGTTCGCCCACATATATCTTTTATTTTTTTCAGTTTTTTTATTTTTCTGAAATTTATGTTCAACTTCAATTTTTTGTGAAGTAAATGCATTTTGAGTTTCATTCATCAACATTTGAACATTTTTAAAAGTAATCATAATCTCCGTTGCCGGGCCATTTAATTTTTATTTTTAAAAATTCTACCGTTTAGTTTCGATTCAAACTGAAAACAAATCGTATAGCATAAAAAAGTCACTTATAAAAAAACTTCATTATTTTTTTTTACACACATTGACTATTTGTCAACGCTTTGATGAACAATCCCGCTAAACCTGAATATAGTATGATTTTGAGAGACGCAGACAAACTGATTATCCTTTGCTGTTTCACTTCAATAACTCGGTTTGTCTGTTTTTGTTTTGTTATTTTTCATTTTACTCTGCTCTGCTCACATCAGTTCTGCTTTTTTGTTTCCAACATAAACAAAAACATCCTGTTGTTTGATTTTTAGCGGGGCTAGAAAAAGACACTTTAGTTATAAGTCAGTCATTTAAAAACAAGTGATCCTAAAAGTTTTTATCTCATTATTCTTGACAAAAAAACTATGTGAAGTGTAGCGTAATTAATTAGCAATTGATATAAGAAAAGAAGTGTTTTTAAGATGTTCAGTCGACTAGAAATCTTTTACGTATTTCACTTTTCCCACTTACCCCAATAATATTGTTTTTTCTTCTTCTTTTGTGAATATGAAGTATTCACAGTGTACTTCTGTTTATTTATTTGATCGATTTTCTATGATACTTTGTTATTCTTTATTTTTTTTTGCTATGAAAAATAATACTTTTTCTGGGGCGAGAAGCGAACGAAAACAACAAAAAAGTTGACTTGAAAGTTTCCACTTCCTCTTCTCATTTTACATAATTGGATTCCATTTTCTTCCTCCCGTTTTCTTTTTCTTTTTTCTCCTAAAATATTCTTTATGTGTTCATTCACAGTTACATTATTTTGATTAGTTGAAAGTATGTTATTTTTGTCGTATAGAATTTCGGTTTTCTAGAGTTGTGACGCAAAATTGCACTTATTTTGGCGTTGTGAAAATAGAATCCACGTCATAGGTCAGGCTTCAGATTGTATAGTGGAATTTGGAAAATGATTTTTAGCCTGAAGGTAAATGTTCTGTTGAACTTTGCCACGTCATAACTACATATCCCATTGGAAATTGTTTTTCAGTGAAAAAGTTCCCCATTAATGATTTCATTTCAAATTCCCACATTAACAATGCACTTTTTCCAAATTTTCAAAATAAATAATTAAAATTTGGATCACATCATAGTTCATGATTTATTTAATATTTCAAACTGTAGGTTGTCGTATCTTTCAAATCATCTGTTAGAACTTTTTTTTCAAAACTGAGATCTGTTTTTTTTTTGAAATGAAAAGTCAATATCCACGTAGTCCACGTTCCATGTTTATATTGAAATATATTCTCGGAAAAATTTCTCTGACAATAAACTATTTGCGGAAAATGTTAAATGACTCAAATTGAGTTACTTAAATAAATATTATTGAATGAAAATATTCTTCGCCTCATCTTTTCTCTGAATAAATTTAATTATCCTTCTCTTTTTAGTCACAAGATCTTGAAAAAACCGTAATCAATCATCTTCACACATTTTACGACGGTCTGACCTTTTATATTGTGAGGCGAAAGATAAAATATATAACTGGTAAGTATATTTTTTCTTTGACCAAATATGTATATGAAAATTCATATAATTTTTTTCTGTGTCTTGCAACTTGGAATACTTGACCTTCATTTTTTGGGGGGAAACCAACGATTTGAAAACCACAAAAATTTACTGTGTATTTATTTTTCACAACATTTTCGTTCAAAAACAGGTGTTTGGTTTTGTATTTTATTGTGTGCGAAAATTGGTTTTTTATGGGAAGGAACACGGCGAAATTTAGAGTGTTTGGGGCTGGATGACTCATTTTTTATTTATTTACTTTTATTTTTTGCTACGGTGGCGTTTTTTTGATATTTAGGCTAGGCCAGGTCAGAAATGAAATTAAGAATGAGAAATAATTTGGAAACATTAAGGCCGATGTGAAAAATCCATTAATTACCAGATTAGCGAAGAATCGAAAATCAAACATCATTGAATTTGCCTTTTTGGGAGTTTTTTTTTGATAAAGCTGTTTTTTTAAATAAAATTTATGGGATGGCTATATTTTATTTTTCTCAGAGCTATATTCTCACGATGAATCTTCTGTTTTTTTTTTGAAAATTTTCAAAAAAAAAAACGGTTTGTGTCAAGAATTTTTATTCAAATACAGATTTTATCTGATTGGAGAATTTTGGCAAGGTCGGAACGTTAGTTGAAAATATTTGTTAGTAAATTTTATGGCGCTTCTGGTCTCAAGAAGCTGAATCTAGTTCTCAATTAACCGCGCCTTGAGAGTCAAGATCATCTGAAATAGAATTTTCTTGAAATTTTTGATCTCAAAGTATACTTTAAAACTCTTGACGTAACTGTCTGTGTCAACAAACATTTTAAAGAAAAAATCTTTAACCTGATCTTCCGAATTTCCTAAATATCCTCAAAACTCCCAGATTTCCGGTTTCCAAATGTCCATTGTTTTCTTTCTTCTCAATTCAAAAAAATAAAGTTCCCACGATTTTCTGACCGCTCAAAAATCTCGCAGCGCCTCAAAATCTGCTGCGCACTGATCGTTCGGAAACAAAAATCTGTGTTTGTGTTGTATTTTTTTTGGCTGTGAGGCTCTCTTGGCTCTTTTCTTTCTTTTTCCTTCTTATTTACACACTCACCTACTCTGTTCTCCTAATTTCCTTTGCTCTATAAATTCCTATAATTGGCTCGTTTTTTCTTTTTTATCGTCCTCTTTTTCCCGGAGCTCGATTAATTTCGAAAACTCAACATTTTTTGCGTTTTATTGACACTAAATATTTTCTGATCAAAAGTTAG